ATGCACATTAGCATTAAATTGGGAATAGAGCGAGTTTATCCCCATCATCTTTTGGTTGTTTTTCACTATTAAATTATCAGCTCATACTTAAATAGGAAGTGCCATCGTACAGAAAAGAACGGTCCCAAGGCTGGAATGGAAGGCTTCAAGGAAGCCAGGATCAATACCAATCATTCAATTTTAGTTTGACCAAAGCTGTCAAGAGCAGAGAAATGAAGAAGGAAGAGCAAGAGTACGGAAAAGCCACGACATCCAGTTGATTTTTTTTGAGGGTAGATGGCTTTGGTAGACCAAATACAGTGTTTGTACATTTGCTAGACTGATCCCTTAGCTGATCTTTCTCCAAATACGTTGTTCGTGTCTTTATTCTCCTTCCTGCTCGAAGGAAAACTTACACCTCGTGACAACCGACATCAAGCATATCCTCAACCGAGCGCTTGCTTAAATTATATGCAGATAAATGATCTCGACGAATTTGAACTATGCTTGTCGAGCATATATGACACTACTCATGTCAACTGTGCATTAACCTAGATCTTTAGATTCTGGGTCTGTGATATATATCCTTTACATGACTATGTTTGCTAAAAAGCAAATGTGAGAACAAGTATTTTTGTAGTCTGATATCATATTTCCCCATTGGGAACTTTCAACCCATACCGTTGACGGCGTTTAATGCATACGGAAAGTCGCGTCAAGTCTTGAGCTTTCAGGTATACGCATCATGTTTTTACACCCTTGCAGAATTACAACTTTAGAATCTACATAAATACCCAAGTACATAGCAGGATCACGGACACATATATAAGACTTAGTGGGATCGGTGTATGAAGCTTGGAGCCATCTCATATGCACATCGTCAACTCAAGCGCTCACTGACGCATCCTCTCGAATGTTCCTTAGTTACGAATCACTATACCTACTTAAGTATGTACGGAGTACGTGTACTTCGTATTCCGTGTACCAGATGCTATTGCTGCATACATCTATCTATGGATAACAAGAGTCCCGTTATCGGTGTGTAACTTTCCCGAGGTCAGCTTCTATCTATAGATATCCCAAATAGGTCGCTTTTACTTTTTGTCTGAACCAGTAGAATCATAGCGACCGGAGAAACTTATCACATCAGTGATAGCGAGCTCAAGCTCTACAGTGTCGTCCATGAGACGGTCTACACATTCCAAAATTAGCTAGTTGCTGAGTATAGTACGAAAGAGTACGACATCGGCTATCTCGCCTACACCAACAACACTAGTCCGCATAGATAATAAACCTCCGGGCAAAGTTCCAGAACCATCAGGAATCCGTCAAACATGCCACTGTGAGACTTAAGCACACTAAGAGACACTATTGATTTCACTAAATAAGTGTCGAGTGGTGGGACCGTCGATCACTAATATGAGCTTTACATGACAAGATTCAATAGCGTGCAGCTCTGTGTACGGAGTACTCTGTGCGGATTAGGGCAGAATATATCATTGTAACCTCAGCTGCAGGACATGCCAAATCCCAAATTCGAAATTCAAATCAAGGCATATATCAAGGGAGAGGCAAATTCCAATAATTCAACGCGAGGAACACGATTGTAGAATCTCATATCACATACTCACTGTCCGCGTACTCCGAACCAATAGTTAGAACGTACGCATCTTGAATGTAACCTACCATGTAATCTGTACTTGCACAGGGCGCTGGTGAGGCCGACCGATTTACGTTGTGGCCGTGAACCGGTGAGAGTGCGGTCGGACGAACGGTGCATCGATCGAGACGATCATCTCGCAACCCAAATCCTGACATGAGATAGCTCACATATGCCAATTGACAGTTCCGAAGTACAGAAAGCCACACGCCACACTTCGCAACATACGGAGTACAGAGGAACGGAGTAATTTACAGCAGAAAATCCACAATCTCAAGTGACACCCGATGCACCAGACGTCATATGCCAGCGCAGCATGGGGCATTCCCATCAGATGTGGCACGAACGTGTTCGATAACGTGTTTTGAATTCACCGCTATATGATGCGTCGGATGCAGGCAGCCGCATCTTGAGATTGTACGAGTACGAATCGAGAAGGAGAATCACGATCTACGGAGTACGAGTACTCGGCGGAGACTTAGCGGGATGGGGGAGGGAAAGTGTAAGGCGTGAGACCGGGGTTTGGGTCGGGCCTCGCTGAAGTGACAGATGCAGCCGGTCAGGGATGGGAGGCAGGTGTTGAAATTATTTCTGGTCAATGGGATTCGATACCTGGCTGCATGTGCACTGCACGTCTTTGGGGGTCATGTATGGATGTACATAGGCCTGATCGCCGAGCCAGTCGTGGGTGTCGGAAGTTACTGGATACTGGGGACTGTGGCAGTGGCTTGCATATCCGCTGCCTCTGTGGGGATGAGCTAAGAGGGTTCCCTGCTCTTACATATCCTGTCTTTGGAGATTATGGGTGCTTGCTTGTGTTTGCTTATTTGTTTTTATTCTTTACTTTTTTGGGAAATCTACTAGATACTTGAAATATGGATTGTCACTTTTTCCTCTTGGCTCTGTTGCTTTGGAGTGATAGGTGTGAAAATGCGTGTTTTTTTTTGTTCACCGTGCACCGTTCCTTCTTAAATTGATTGGTTGAACCATGTACATATGTATACGCCCACGCGTAATTTTGTAAGGCATTTTCGTAGTGGATTGCAGCAAGATCTCAATTTTGGTGTCAGTCCCAAGTGGAATGGTGAACATCGGACAGTGTATGGAGTAGTGGTGCCTAAGTAGCCCCCCAATCGGGGATAAAAGGGGGTACCAGGCGCCCAGCCCCCGAGGCCCCGAGGGCTCCGATACAATGTTATTCGGCAAGATGGCCGCGATCTGCAGACACTTTTTTTGAGTCATGTCAAACCCCATCGTTGCGTGTTCAGGGGGAGGTTCCTGAGAACGTCAGAGTCATGAATCTGAAGCCTATCCGTACAACTGACTAGCAATTGTACGAGTATTCCGTACAGAGGCTCTGTGGAGTCTACATAACATACATTACCGTTGGGTACGGAGTACGGAGTCCCTTGTGATGATTTGATCCGATACTGATATTAAAAATTTCGAAATTTTAGCCGCAACATCCGGCGTGTTTCGGACAAGTTAATGAGAACCAAAGACAATTAAATTCTCGCAATCTGGTTCGACGTATCAGGGTCCCCCAGAGTGAATTGCCTTCATATAATGAGTCCACACTTTAATTATATCGCAGCTGTCACAGAAAGGCCCAAAAAAAAAAAAAAAGAAAAATCCGAAATTACCCCATCTGCAGGGCGATCATATTAAAAGGTAAATTGAATCCGGAGACTTCACGTGGCATACTAGCCTGGAATCAGGTCCATGGTTGTCGAGTGGGCAGGTGGACTCACGGTGGATACGACGGATTCCAGCAGTCAGGAAAAGTTGGCAGATACGCAAAGAACCGAAGTTTAAGCCCGAGCTAGTTTTGACCCTATAGAGCTGTCAGTTCACGTCAGAGCCCTGAAGAGTGCTCCAGAGGAACGGTTCGTTCGGGCTTGTCTGGGCATTACGTGAAGGATATTCTGCCGGGACTTCCGATTCAGAATTCTACTTGTTTACATCGACTTCTAGACCAGAAGATGCATCATGATGCTGAGATCTTGGGTATTTGGAATAAAGAATGTTCAAGTGTCATTGCAAGGTCAAAAAAAGGCAGTGACCGTGGTAGCAGTAAGGTTTGTCTTTGGTAGAGTAACGTCATTTTGAAAGAAAAAAAGAAAAAAGAAAAAAGAAAAGGCAAAAAGGAAGCAAAAAGTGGACGAGATCCTTAACTCAGAAGCAACTAGTTTATGGGTCTTTGAATTTGGGGATAAAACATTAATTCGATTTGGCATTAGTGACAGCCCGATCCATGGTTCATGCGCTTTCCCCGGGGCCGAATTTTAACCTCGTTGAGTTTCTCCTTTTCCTATATCAGATACTGATCCGGCGCACGAATAAGTTCCGGTGTGACTCTGGTTCGCTAGTACGAATCTGCCCCCGGTAGATATCCCGGCATCTGTACTCGTAGGAACGGGAGAGCCATCCGTCCACGGGTCAATGGAGAGAAAACGTCATACGAAACCTGTCAAGTCCCGAAGTTAAACTGCACAAGCATGAGCCGTGAAGATCGCCCAAGATCGGCGAATGAAAAAAGCGGTCCTTGGGATACCTTGACAAGGTAAGATCCACGTTTCCGCCGAATACGTGCCTGTGAACGGAGAACCCAGTGCCGAGCAGACGGATACTCGGTGGAGACGGGCTGTGCGGTGGGCAGCTGAGATCTGCTCAATTCTTCAAACTTGATGCTCGGTCTCGCGTTGGCGGACGGGTGAGATAGGGCAGGCCAATATTCTTAGTCAAGTGCTAGTAGATGAAGTGGAAACAATTACATGAGCCATGTGAATCTGAAGGCCCAGGTTCCACTTGACACCTGGGTATGCAATTTATGGCGGTATGTTCAAGACGCACTTACGGTGCGAGGCAGTGAAACCGAACTATGTATGAGAGTAAATGAACAAATGCACAGTGAACACATAGATGACTTGAATTCCGAATGCTCTAATATTCCACATACCCCTTTGCCCGTTTGATTCTCAGCAACATAATAAGTTCCCACCGGGTAAACGCAATCGATGTGAAGGGGTATCAATATATGAGGTCTGCCTAAGTCTCCGTACCGGACGGCAATGCGACATGAAATGTGACCCAGACTGTCTGGGGGAGAAACAAGAAAATTAAGAATAAAGAAAAACACATAAGAAAATAAGAAAGAAACACAAGAAAAGAAGAAAAAAAGCCAGTCTATCTCAGCTTGCCGTGTCCTGAATCCCGTAACTCGTAAATGATAGGGAGAAGAGTGATGCCTCCAGTCGTAAAATATATAAGACGCTGACGGTGCGAGTGCCTGCCGCAGCGTGTTGATTAAAGTAGAAAATGCCGTGAATGGACCCCGATTGAGTCCAGGTTTGTCGCCACATCAATGGTGAGGAGAGGGTAGTTCACTATCCATGTCACTGAAAGGAGACTGTCGCTGGGAATCGGCATCTGGACCGCTGCGCATCTGGTTACGCAAAGCAGGCAGTTGTCGTCGACGGGCATTGATGAACCAATTGCTAATCTGGGAGGATGTTAGTGGATCATCGTGAGAACAACCACGGCTGACACATACCTGGCTAATTGAGAGTCCAGTCCTTGTCATGAACATTTGCTTGTCCTCTTCACTTGGGTAAGGGTGATCAAGGTGTTCATGAAACCAGGCACGCAGGATATCAGTAACAGGCTTGGGGAGATTCCCACGTCGGCGCTTTGTCTTGGGATCAATAGGATCCCCCATAATTCCGAAGTTGGCCTGTTGTCCGTGCGCAATCATCTGGGGTGAGACCTGCTCATCGTACCCCATGGTGGGATGTCCATATGGTGATTGAGGGTGCATTATTGGGGCATATTGCTCAGCACTGCGGCGATCGGGCATAGCAGCCATTGGGGCCGGGCCGGGCTGGCGATATTCCTGAGTGACAAAAGGGTCCGATCTGGGGGCGCGCTCGTAGCCCTTATGATTTACTGGGCGACCTGACATCGTGTCCAGGTCTCGGATAGGTGGGAGGATTGGACTCGGGCCGCGGGATGCGCCTTCGGAAAACCGCATAGCGTGACCCGGGTCCATGCGTTCGCCGCGGGAGACTGTATATTCACGGTGTGCGTCGTATGGCACTTTGGTAGGGGTTCCATATGGGATAGAGCGGGGGTCGGCCATTTCGTGGCCGGAGCCCGGGCGGTCTTGTGAGCGTGGTGAGGTATAGTATGGTGAGGTTGACTCGATTTCATCGTGAAGGTGAGCGGGGAGGAGCTGGATGGGATGAGTATGTGTTCAAAGGCAGTCAACAATCTTCAAAGCTTACCTCGCGGAATGAGGGGAGTGTTTGGTGTCCGACGGACGGCTGCGTATACGAAATAGCCATATCGGTATCGTCGTCCAACTGGCGGGACTGGGACATAGACAAGGTATTTGCGGGGGGTGGACAAAGCTAGAGATTCCCTGCAAGAATAAGGAATAATAAAAAAGAGTTCACAATGTATCACAAGAACTAAACCCTGTTAGAAACGGGATATCAAGTATAGACAGATCTGAAAGACCAAGAAAAGCCAAGGTGAGAAAGGGACTAGATGTCAAAAAGGAACTTACCGAGGGAAACCAGGCTGGTTTTACGTCGACATGTTAAAAAAGAAAGGCCAAGATTATATGCAAGGTTGGGGAATGAGGGCGAAGATAGAAGTCCAAATAATGCAGGACCCGTACATTTTAACCAAAAAATAGCCCCATCTCATAAAAGAAAAGAAAATAATAATAATAATTTAAAAAAACCCAAAAAGAAAAAGAGACATCCAGCTGTTACATGTCCATGGAAAAGCAAGAACAGGGGGGGCCACCGAAAAATGACGATCGTGGTGGGTACGAAGAGCCACAAGTGCTCCAAGGCATGCAGAGCGGAGAAGGGGGCGTAAATCAATATGGTCTAAAGTTGTTGACAGCGCCAATCTTCCTTTGGTCCTTTAGGGTTCCTGTCAATGAAATAGTTCGGTTAGCGTACAAATCTCACGAACTACTTCCCGCCTCCACGCTCGCTCTCTCTGGTTTTAGGTCTGCAATGGTCGGTACTTTTATCCGAAAGAAACACTTTACTTCGGAGTTACTCTGTATTCCATACCAGCGTTTCCGACGTAAGGCAGCAAGAAAGGAAGAGGGCAAAAAATAAAAAAAAAAATGAAATCATATGGCTAAGTTATTATTAGCAAAATTCCAAGAAAAAGGAAAGACTTAAGTGTGGTTCACTAGTCTACGTCAAACTCGAGAATTGCATGTTAGAGAACTGGACTGCTAGCTCTGATCCTAAAAAAGAGTCCTCAGGGTGAAACCGAGGTAAAACAAGTTCAAACGGTCAGTACATGGAAAAGGGCAAAGATTCACAAATGGTAAATGCGAGAATTATCACAACCTTTCAATACAGAGTAGACTCAAGATCAAATATGGAGTACCAAAGGATAAGAGGTGAGATCCGGCGGCGACAGCCGTAGAGCAAGGAGGGGACTTCGGTCGTACCTGAGTCAAGACGATCCGAAATCAAATCACCTTGTCATTGCTTTTTTAGTGGGGATGTACGAGTATTTGGTACGAGTACTACGAGTACTATGTACTATGTAGGAAAATGTAAAAGAGAAAAAAAAGAGACGAGATCGATTCCCATGGGACAGGAAAAGACAACCGGTTGAAGTGCAAGTCGGGCACTCGCATTGTACACTGAAAAAAGAAAAAGTCAAGACCCAGGTGGATCTCGCCCGACTCCCAGTCGAAGGAAAAGATCGCCGGGTACGGAGCATCAAAGAGTGTCAAACAAGATCGCGTTCGAGAGCTTATGTTTCCAAGGGAAGAGGTATACGACAGGCGAATAAGGACGCGCAGACATGACGCCTCGGCTGGATCGTAGATTGCCCAGAGCCTCTCATGGGTGGACACGGAGATCGATCGACCACTGAGAAAGGGAGGGGGGCTGGTATTGGCCAGGGATAGATCGCCTAGGGGTTCTTCAATTTCCGTCTCCACTTCCTTCGAGATGACTTGTGGCGTTTTTGATTTGATTATTTGATTATTCGATTATTATTATTTAATTCGTCTCGAGCATATTTTGGGCCTTTTTCAATTCTCTAAAGTCGGATCACCCCGAGCACCCGCATGGGACTCACGATGGGGATTATTTTATTTTATAATTATATATACGAGTAGTACTTACATATATTTTCTTTCTTTCTTTTTTCTTTTTTAATTCAAATTTCATTGCTTTTCTCCCCCGACGTGATACGATTGGGGAGTGCATATGATATCCACCATAACCTCAGTGTGACAGGACCTCGTAGCGATCGCTCTTTCACGTATCGCATTCAGCTTGACACGACAGGTACAGCACTAAATGACTAGACCCGACCCGCTCTGGAAACTAGTTTTGACAATTCAATAATGGCGCAAATGCGCTAAGATTGTCGGAGATCCTTCTAAGTGGACCGAATGCAAAGTAGTGAGATCAGTACCAATCAAAGTGTTAATCAGCCTCGGAACAATGGGGTCTTTTGGCTTGAGATATTAAAGCCCTGCGACTTGGTGTTTCTTACTAGTGGGAGTGGCGTAAGCATTCGTCCTCTTAAGTACCCGGATGCTTCCCGAACAATTCTATTGCACAGAGAAAATAAGAAAGGATAGATTGCAATTGTCAACATCAAACGCAGTAATTATAATGAAGCTGCATGCACTTCTAAGTTGACATGACATCTCCCGACCCTAAATGCCGTGACGTTTCGGACAGAATCCGCCCCCGAGCTGCCCCAATTTACATACTCAAGGTTTAATGGTCTGTCACGAATTTTGTCTCGCTCGCTCAACGCGGTAGTCTCCCCGGCTTGCACTTTTAGTACGAAGTACACTTAACAGATCTTACCCTTTTACCAGGCCATTTGGTGAATCTGGATTCAGCCTCGTGGAGAAGCCCTGGATCGCCCCTATCATTCGTCCGTCACTCCAGGGCGCGATCTGGCAGCTGAGAATTCGGGAATCATTTCGATTTTGGGTTACAATTTATTACAATTTATTTCTGGATTTCTGGATTGCCTTTTCATTTTCTTCGTATATTTTTCAGGCATAACAAAACCCATCCAGATCTAGAACAAAACCAAATAGATTATCACCGACAGAATGGCAAATATCATAAATTCTATTAAATTGGATTTATTTTTTTGGATGTGGCTACGAGTAAGTGGCTACTCGGACAGGGTAATTGGAATTTGAAGCGATCGTCATACCTAGCCCAAGGTCCCGAGATCGTGCATGAAATGGAGGGATGCAGATCATCGGATCTCGCAGTGCAAGAACTGGGATCGTCTTCGTAAAAAATGACTGGTCAAAAGTGTGTTTCGTCTCAAAGCCCGGGGAATGGAGGTCAAGGGGTTGACGGGAGCCTTTTTAATTGGAAAATGTTCTATTCCCCTCTCGTGCCCTACTGTAGGCCCGATTATAGTGCCGGAGGAATAGCCCTAGATCTGCGGGATACGTCCAAGGTTGCAGTAATTTGTCATTCTGTTTCCCGGTACTTGGGCCGGGGTTTGCTCACATTTTTGGTTCAACCTTATCCAATGGGGAATTGTCTTTTTTTTTTTTTTTTTTGAACTTGCAACTTGCAACTATAGCCGATCTCGCTCCGTACTGACTCGTACTTACACTTCAGGCTATTAATCTGTAACCATCCCAACCTAAATAGATCAACCTTTTTCTAGAACACCAGGAAACCAAGGGTTTCACGGGTGTTTTGACAAATCCCGAACTCTGGAACTGCCAAAGTTAGGGGTGAGCATCTAGCGGTATACGAGTAGCGGTACTCATACATTGTCCGAGTAGCACTGCAGCAAGTAAGGCACCCGAAAATGGATCAGTGCATGAATCCAACCCCAAGTTGATTTTGTGATTCAATTTCCAGGTTCCTGGTATTATAGGTGCATGGCTACAAGCATGTTCCCGGTATCCGATTTGTTTGCTTTCGCCACCCAGGCCTGTCACAACCAGACCATGCATGGGCTGAGTGCCAAGAGCGTGGTTCATGACAAGACCACCAATCCCTCGCTGACATGCGATGTGACATTAGGGGCACCTTTTTTACTATTGGCCCAAGGCGTGCTTTTTCTTTGCCTTACTTTGCCTTTTTCAGTGACGTCTGTGGGCTCTCTCTCTAAACGGTTAGATACCGTCTTGATATGGAGCTGCTGACCCCGTAAGGAGTGGTGCGGTCTGTTTTAAGAACTGGTCTTCCGTATTAAGCGACAACAGCTGGGATGATCGTAGTATGCACTTGTGCCTGATTCTTCGCAACCTCTTTTGACATCATGTTTGCCTTTGGGCGTTTGAACGCGTATTCAAAGTCGCTGTAGATGACCAAATTCTGTCGATCAATAAAGAACAAATATCACTCGGTTCACTTTGTCAATACTCACAAGTAGTCTGGAGGATGGGTTGTTGTGCCCTGGCCCTCTGAGCAGTCATTCAATATTGTTGATCGGGTTGTCTACCAACTATTTTTCGATCTGGCATCAAGTCCACGGGTGTCTCGAACACTTCCAGCTTGTTGATCCAAATCACTGAGCAAACTGGCAGTCCGCACAGGTATGATGTTGGCACTTGAATTGTGGGCTATACTGTGATGCACTTGTCGACATTCGTGGTGAACTATGCACCAAGGACCATCCGTTCGAAATCGCAATTTGACCGGTTGAAGCTCAAGCCTACGATGACTCGATAACTTATCAACTCAATTATACTGTGGTGCGATTGCCCAAAAAAAAAAAAAAAAGATAAACGTGTTTTCTTTTCTGCTTTTCTATTTTGGCAAGCGGGAACCTTGGAATTCGCACTGTCTCGAGCCAATATCGACGGTATCGTTAACCTTGCAATATCCATCTTCTTTCAAGGCTGCTATTTCAGAGCTGGCCGTCATCCTCAATGTCCTCCAACACTTGCACCATAACGAAGCGATGTGCAGTTTCCGAGTCAGATTTCAAGGTCAACGTCCTCGGTGTTGCTGATGAGAGGCTTGGTTCTGGAACCCATCTCTTTTGTGGCAATGAATACACGAGCTGCCTAGGTATCCTCCTGCGAATGTCGCATGATCTATTCACTATTCTCGAATAATTTTGTCGGTACTCGAAAGGGAAGAATAAGTCAAGCACCGATGAAGACCCAGAAGATAATGCAGCTAAGCCAAACCCCAAAACAGGCGTAGGGTAGTTGAAAACATCCAGGGCTTGGAAGGCAGAATAATGGAAGCGACATCCATGGATTGGTGATGATCTAAGCTGTGGTTGATTCCAAGGTTAAAGTCACTTGAGAATGACCCAGGTGGAACGTATGTATGAAAGTGGAAGCTCAACGTGAACATATCGAAGACATGAAAACCGAGATATGTTTAAAAGGCCACCGTGCTGCAACCGAGGCGTTAGCTGCTTTATGCCAGCGATTCTGGAAAGCCATTTCAAACCTGCTGTGCACGATAAGCCGACGAGCGCGTAGGTATAGCATATATGAAATTTAGAAGAGACTGGCAGCGATTCAATGGGGCGTGGTTGATGTGAGACCAAGAAGCAGTAGAATGAGATGCGGAGACATACGAAGAAATCAGATGAAAGGCTTCTAGGACATGTCACTGTTGGGGAGGGGCGCCATAATAAATGAGGAGTACTCCGTAAAAGGAAACCTGATATGCTAAAGTCCGAAAATGAAAATCCGAGCACCCAAATTTGGGCTGGGAAGTTGATAACTAACTGAGAGGTAAGATATGGGAAAGATGTGAAGGAGGCCAAAGAGTTAGGCTGAAGCTCTTTTGTACACACAATCCTTGATGCGTTTCCTCCATGTTCGAAGACAAAAAACCAATATTCAAAGACAGAAACCCACCCCGCTGAAAATAGAAAAACCACAAAAGCCCACGTGAATGGCAGCAAAAAGTGAATCTGAGCCCGGCTCAAGACATAATAAAGAAAAGACAAGACTGCGCTATGGCAGATGCAACGTATGTACAAAAGATAATTCAATGTGTCAGAGACAAGTCAGCTGACTGTGTATCAGTTCACCAGGTTTCCTGAAAAGAAAGTTAGCGGAGCTCAGATCGAAAGAGAAATTTTCCAAACTCACAGCAATGTACTGTCCGGCCTCCTTCTTGCGCTGCCAGAACATATCAGCCTCCTGGGCATTGAGGTTTCCCTTGGCCATGGCGACCTCGACAAGCGCAGCCTCCACGCCTTCGCCCATGCCCTTTCCAGAACCGCAGACGAAGACCCGTCCATCAAGCGAGTTGATCACGAACCAAACCAGATCCGCCTGGTGGCGAACCTCTTCTTGCACATAGCGACTTTCACCCTTGCGACTCTGCACGACAGTCCGGACCTTGTCTTCGTGGACACCCCATTCACCCGAGTAGAGTTCATCGAGAAGCGAGTCACGCACACCCTGCAAAACCCAGACCTTGTTAGCGCAATTGGCGGATTGCAGACGACGCTGGACGAAGCCACGGAATGGCGCGATACCAACGCCTGCACCGATGAGCAGCATGGGTCCATCAGACGCGAAGCGAGTTGCGAGCGGGTTGGCCATGAGACCTCTGAACATGGGGATGTGGATGTCCAATTTCTCGCCCTTGGCCTCGGCGTCGAGGGCGCGACGGGCGAGGGACTCGAGGTATCCAGAGCTGACACCGGTACGAGAACCACCGCGCCAATCGTCGGATTCGGCGACCGTTACGGCCACTTCGATTAGGCGTCGGCATTCGGAGCCCTTGTATTGGCAGGAGATCTGGGGGTCTTGGGAGAGAGAGTAGAAGCGGGGCATGAGGGTGTTGAGGACGGAGAGAAGGGCGTCAAGAGGAGGTTGAGAGGATGGGAAAGCAGTGAGGAGTTGGGAAAGGGAGACGTAGGAGCTTGTGCGGAGATCGCAGAAGGCACCTTGGCCCTGTGCGGAGGAGAGGTAGGAGAGAATCTTCTTCTCATTTGGCTCACTGGCGTGTTCGGCAAGAAGACGGAAGAGAGGCTTGGTCGGCGCGTAGGATTGGATGTCGGAGCACCAGCTGAGGACTTCACGGCGTGTGGTTATGAGCTCGCGGGCCTTGTCATCACCCCAGATGGTGGGCCAGCGGCCATTCGTGGTGCGCATGAGAATTTTCTTATCGCGCATGGATTTCGGAACGCCGAGGAGGTTGAGAACATCTTCCACCTCAGAGTCCTTGTTCTTAGGGCAGACACCGATTGCGCCGCCAACGACAAAGTCAACCATGCCGCTCTCGGCGGGGTAATCGGTGACATCGATATCAAAGTGGTAGGTGCGCTTTTCGGCGCCGGGGCCTGTAAGTTCGCGGGCGTGGTGGAGGGGCGCCCGATAGACATTGTAGGGTGGGTGAGGCTGCACAAAGTCGGGTGGGTGGTCCGAGGGACCGAGCGACATGTTGATTGCCGATGCGGGGATTGGCTTGAAGGAGACGGTCTTCTCCGGGAGCGGGGCAATGCCAGAAAGTTCACTGTCCATGGTGAGGAGATCGAGGTTGAGCTTCAGGCTGTCAAAGGCCTTGTTGTTGGCGGGTCCAACAATCGAATTGAAGCCTGAAATCGGTCCATCTACAGGACGCAATACCTGACCCCGGCAGCAACCCCCGCCACAGCAGAGGGACTGGAGTTTCTGAGTGCCTGCCGTGCCCACATTTTCCAACACTCTCCTCATGTCGTCCGCGTTTTGCGAAATGAGGATAGTGGATGCCCGTCGTCGTTGACGGCCATCGGTCTTTTCTGTCGAAAGCTCTTCGTCCGATTGATTCTCGTTGGGTGGTGTCAGAGGGGTAGTGGGGGTATGAGTGCCGGTTGAGTCTGTCCCTTGGGACGAAGTTGCGGAGATGACATTGAAGTTGGTATCTGTCACCGAGAGCGAACGTACACCTCGAGGTTCTTCAGGAATTGGGTTATCGGGGTGGGAGGTCGAGGACACTGGAATCTCCTGGTAGGTGCCTCTGCGGGGACGGTCTCCCGTGGAAGCGTAAGTCGCCGATGGCATGACTGATTGCACTGCGTGAACTGTTGAAGAGAATGAGCGTCTCGATCGTTTTGGTTTTGAGAGGATCTCAACCCGGCTTAACACATACCCATGGTGGTCGAAGGTGGCAACGAAACCGGCGCGAAAGGGGGGAACCGGGGTTTAAGAGTCAAGAAGCGAACAAGGAGCTGTCTGAGAACCCCTATTTTTTTTTCTTTGCTATGAATCAAAAGAGGAGTGGGATGAGGATGGGGGACGTGGACCCGAAGAATCCGGGAGAATAGTTCCGTACGGGAAATGAACGGTAATTAATGAGAAAAAAAGGGAAAATGAGGTGTGTGGGAGTCGACAGATTTATCAGATTTGCCACATTCCTCGGGTACGTTGGGCGGATCCGGTCAAGAGTCCGCGGTTGGATTTGGGTTGTTTTCGTTGAGATATCTTCAATACCTTCACAAAACAAGGGAAATGTTGTTACACTGTCAGCAATATTAAGGGTTCACCTACTGGATATGGCACTCCCATTTGGGGCTATTGTATCCATCTCTCCAGATCTACCGTGCATGACTGTATTGTATCGGTGGCGATTTACAACACCCGAAGCGACTCCCGAGGTCCCGGGTCTCGAGCCGGTCCATTCCTGAAGAGAACAAACGATGTACAGTATATGATCCAGTAAAAATTACAGAGAAGCCTCCGTTGGACAATTTTGATGTTGCACTATCCAAACGGTTCATAGATTTCCCAAACGCAGTGTCTCCAAATACATATTTCATTCGTTACAGCGTTATCAGATGGAAAGGTTACAGTAATATTACCTTTCAGTACCTCGGTTATCAGATCAATCAGATACGAACCTGTCAGCTTTTACCTCGTCACATCTGATAACCTTGTACGATACAGTACGGAGTACATACCTCCGTACACGCCCGGGTTACCAATTTACCCCGATCATGTGAATTGCCTACACACACTACACACTGCAGACAGACTGCAGATTACCTAGGTACGGATTACTCCGTGTTCCGGACACACTGCTCGGCACTGTATTCCATGATCCTTCGTACTACTGTATTCAGCTTCGATCCCCTGACGTCCCCAAACTCCAGTCAAACCCCACTTTCCGAGCCGGAGCAAGGACGGTCTATCCCGTTGGCTGACATGCCCCTTCACCTGCCCACTCGGGATGTTATTTGGGCCTAAAGTACGATCAATTTCCCAACCACCCGGTCGAGAGTGGGGGCACCAGGCCGTTCGATATCAATCAGTGGGTCAGTTGAGCTGCTAGTTCGTTCTGGAAAACTGGAAAGGATCGGTAGAAACTGTCCAGACTCGCTGAGACTCGGGCTAATGCGAACTGACTGGTCTCCCTTCCAATTTCTAGTCTGAAACCTCCCGGCCCGTTCTGCTTGGCTGAGAACCTTCGGTGTGTCACTAAATCGCGACTTGACCGCATCTTAACGCGATCTGTGACGCGGCGAGGCGGTATTTGGCCCGGTGCTGTATTTGTTTCGGCTACGGGTGCATTCATGCGTACATACCTTACCGCATTGGGGAACAAAGGGGGCGATGAGCTGTTTCCATCTGATAACTTAATTTCGATAGATCCACCCTTTGATCCACTCTGCTCAGGGGAAGGGATTTGCGTAGGCTGTATTGCTGTACGGAGTACGGAGTACGAGTAATGAATCAGTGTTTCTGCTAGATCGTATTTGAGAAGAAATTTCGACCTATTGATGACAGCCGGTGTTCATTCCGACAGACCCCTGCTCTCGGATTTTTGGGCAGCAAGGAAAGTCTCCGTGGCCATGGTAGCTGTCATACTAGTAGGGGCTGTGGCGTCATTACACAGCTGACGGGATTCTCGGAATCAATATTGCGAAGCTCAGAAACCACTTTCCGCGGAGTACTTGAAAGTCGCAACATTGTACGAAACCACAAACTTGAAAAATTCGTACTTTGAATATACTTAAGTAGATCTTTCCGCATCTAAAGTTTGGGGCATGCACGGTTTAGACCGTTATATCGGTTGCGATTCATGAGTATCTACCTGAAAACCTCGGAACAGCCCTAGCATTGTGTATACGTCACATCATCAGGTCATCAAAATACATGAAAGCGTAGCCAATTATATCCAACCAGGAAATGCAACTGCCAGCTTTGAAGGTTACTTCCCGTCCCTGTTGACCAAGGCCACGGGTGGAATGAAATGATGTCTGCCCCTGGCCCAGTAATAAAGCGACGCCGATCCAACGACTCCGACATACATCGCCACCGACCAATTCATTGTTTCGACTGTCACATTTGTTGACAGCGGGAAAAATGCAAACAGAAACATCGGGCAGAGAAACGCCAACGCGCCAAAATTCACCGCCCCTCCAAATTTCCCCAACGACCACCGATGATGCGGGAGTGCCTCGCCGCGCAGCCGTTTCAGGAACACACAGCCTATAGATAGTATGTACGCGGACAACAATGACGTTATCGTGAGAGAGATGACAGCATTGAGCGCGACCTCCGATCCGATGTTGATCAACGAGAGGAGAATTGTGACGACCAACGAGACCATCACAGAGTTGAGCGGGATATTCCATCCCGGTGTGACCTGACAGACGTTAGCAACCTTTGTAAAGAAACTCGGGCTAAACAAGACATACATATGCGAAGAAAGACGAAAAGGGAAGTCCCTCGTCACGAGCAAACGACCAGAGCTGTCGGGATGCCGTTGCCACTTCAGTGATGGTGCTTGCTGTCAACGTCACCACCAATACTGCGGTCATGGCATTCGTTGCCGCAAAACTGCCGGTGGTGTTGTAGAAAATTTCAATGAAAGGGAATCCAGTTGGAGTTTCCAGTACTTTGTCGACCTCGCCCAACGTGAAGCATAAAGTGATCAACATTATGAAGCCCAATATGCCATTAACAGCAACAGAGGACATCATGGCCTTAGGAAGTGTCTCCGATGCGTCTTTGATTTCCTCCGCTATTTCCGTCAGCAATTTTCGCGAAACCAACCAGTGAGTCTTACACATATGAACTGAGCAATCATAACCAAGCATCGAAGTTATTGTAGTCGACAAGCCGACCAGAGTAGCAGTCCCGGAATTATTCCAGCCGCCGCCATTGTTGAATGTGGTGAACACAGCATGAGCATTATTACGCGGCGCAAGAACCCACAGCGGGATAATGATAGCAAACAGGCCAACGATGTGGATTATCAGAATCAACCCCTCCACGAAAGGCAAGTTCTTGGCCAAGAATGTGTTGAAAATAATTGAGAACGTGGAAATGGCAATCACTAGCATTGTGCCGTGCCATCTTTGAAAATCGTAGTCAGGTTGGTTTAGTACAACCAATCCTTGGATGATAGTGCCGGCCAGGTATGCAATCGATACAATGGCACATTGCCACCCCATGGCGGAAAGCCATCCTGTAAAATGTTACTTGATGGTACTTGAATATCAACTGCCCATCTTACCGGTGATATAACTTAGAAACTTTTGCCCCCGTCGGGGTGCAAACTCAGAGACCCAGTGATATTGTCCGCCTGCAGTCGGAGCCCTATTTTTTTTATCAGCGCCGTCAAATACGAACGATCAAACACGAACGATCAAACACGAACGATCAAAAACGTACATCGAAGCCATTTCAGCTATACTGGCATAAACGAGGCTGAAACCCAGCGTGACACCGATAAATCCCCATATCAAGCCCGCTGTCCCGCCGTCTGTCAGGCCGGCAGATAACAATCTATTCCCAGTTAGCTGCATGCGCCAATGTACCCAGCGAACGAGTCATGCGGGGTGCAGCTTACGTTAATATAACTTCCCAGGTGCAGATCAGGGTACAGCCAAAGCCCACAATGGAGATAAATCGAAAATTTCTCTGATAGGGATCAGCAAATCAACGAAAACGCAAGAGACAGGGAGCAACCCGTACCCGAAGAACTTGAACTCGACCAAGGGCATTCATATCACGCTGGTCGGCAATTGTTCCCATATACCGGGGCTCAACAAGACCTTTCCTTGCATACTCCTCATCATCGAAAGTCATTGTCTGCTGCGAGTCCGGTCTGGATTTATCAAAGACTGCCATGTTGGAAGCAGAATTGAATTCCCAACGAGCAAAGTCAGAGGGAGAAAAAAGCTGACACTCACTCATGCCCGAAGAATCAATGATCCTATAAAGGCGCTAACGAAGTGTAACCCAAAGAAGAAGGTATCGGGAGAGAATCATGGCAACTGCAGTCGGAGCGTGGAATCGACGTGGGAGCAAGGCATGGCTGGAATATTTCCCAACCATGTGGAAGGCGAGATCCGGATTGACACATCGTTGTTTGACGTCGGATCGCGTTTGGCGCTTTGGCGACCTGCATCCCTTGTCAGTGGGAATGAGGCTAGTGGGACCTTGCATGTCGAAGGGATGTTGGGTCGAGGCGGTAATGATTTAGGTTCGGACTGGATCGGGGATGGGATCGTATGTGCGTAGGGATGAGTGCTAGTTCATTTAGCCTTGTCTATCATATTTTGGATTGCATCTCGTCAAAAGAAGAACTAGATGGACCGCTCCCACAACTCACGGGCAAGACAGACCACTCACTGTTGGGCATCTACTTCTACTACATAGCTGCGGTGACATACATCCAACATTTCTGATGTATCATTTACGCTAAACTCATTCTGGAAACAAATCGCTCCCTTGATGCTTATCCCCCAGACGATTCAGCCACATCTCCACCCAACGGCGGGTGGATGCACATTGCTCGCTTTGTTTGCTCCAAAGGAAATCCGCATAGCCCTATCGGATGACAGCCAGAGACCCACGGCTCACCCAAGGGCACGCTGATCGACCTTACAGCGGGCCGACGTGCCCTACTACTTTACCCAACAATGCATGGCTTAATACATAGTACGAATTATATCGACGTGAGGGCGAGAAGGCAAACGGTCATTCTAGGAGAGCTCCAAGACCCGAAATTCTATTGCCACGGCACGCGAAGAAAGGGATGGTCTCCACAGCTTCAGTCTCATGCCCTCAGTTGCAATTACAATGCCTGGACTCGACAGCCCGTGCCTTTATCGGCCGTCGGCATATGATATCCAAAGTACGCAAACCATCACCAGCCTTGTTTGCATGCCACGCACTCCATGCTGTCTATCCCAGTCGGCCCGTTTCATTTATCCTCATCCCACATGGCTCGATCTGACAGTTCCCAAGATTTTCTTTTCGCAAACTGCTAGCTCACACTTGGTCTTATGAGCGCCACGATCCTATTCTAGGTCCCATTTGGTGCCATGTATGTACCACCAGGCCAGTCGCCGCCTTTCGAGGTCGTGGACGAGTTGCACCATGGCGCATGGTTAATCATCACCGCGGCGCTGGGACTGGTGGTTTCCCTCGTTTGCTTCTTGATCCGGCTGTATGTGCGACTTATGTTGATCCCGCCTTTTGCGAGAGACGATTGGGTATTGTTGGGTGCTACTGTGAGTTGCCGGTCATGGTCTTGCTTTTTGAGGTGAGTGGCTAATACAGGCAGATAGGCCGTCGCTGTCTTGCAAGCGAGTCTTGTATTCTATGCCTGTTCTCGTGGTTTTGGGACCTCAATCTCGCTGCTGGAAGATGGAAGACTCAATCAGATACAGACTGTAAGTGGAAATAGGTCTTCTAAAGGTCTGTTGTGCCGTGTACTGAATATTTAGTTGATTGCGACGAGTGATATCATCGCTTTGATCATCATATATCTTTCCAAATGCTGTGTTGTGGCAATATATCTGCGTTTGACCCCGCAGAAACGGCACAATCGTGCCGCTTGGGCGACTCTGGTTGTGTGCACCCTCTGGGTTATTCCAGCCATCTTCATCGTACTGGTTAATTGCGAATTGAATACACCCTGGCGAGGTGGTGGTGGTCAATGTCCCAACTTGGTGTGTATATAGTGCATTGATATGTTGTGCATCGCGACCATTCTAACATGTCTTCACAGTATAAAAAATGGCAATATATCGCAGCTGTCGACGTCATGACCGAGGTTATTCTCTTCATACTTGCAGTCATTTTACTAAAGGGCCTGTTCATGTCCGTTCGTCGGAGACTTGCCATTGGCTTCGCATTCATCTTCCGCTTTCCGTGAGTATACACCATACCCCGATGTCCATGGATGACAATTTTCCAACCAAGTTCAAAGGTCCCTTCTAATACCCCACAAGCCTCATAATACTCTCGATAATCCATATCTTATCCCTTCGCACCGCACTCAAAAGCGATGATACAACCCTCGCCTCCGTCGAACCAACAGTCTGGATGCAAGTCGAGCTGCACTATGCCCTAGTCGCATGTAGCGTCTTCTGTATTCGCCCTTTCATGGCAGCCGTCAGCACGAATTACGGTACAGCAGGCGACTCGACGCTGGAAAGCAGTGCATCCAGATCAAACACAAAGGAAGGCTCCAAGGGATCTGGATCGGGCTCCAATGCAGATCAATCTTCGAGATCCGCCTCACGAGCAACAAGATCAAGATCACATTCGCATATGAGGCATAAGAGACCCGGAACCGCTATTGGTCCTGTTGGTATGCATGCCTCTGGCTCGCGAAAGGCCAAGACTCGAACCATTAAAGCGCACGGTGCTCTGATCTCCAAGAACCAATGGAGAAAAGACGCGGATATTAGACATGAAGAGCGCGTACCAGTGTGCCGCTCCATGTTCCCACTTGGGACATGGGAGAGCTATCCCAAGTTGGAAAGGGGGAAACAGAAACACGGGGCGCAGGGCTCTGATTCGACAGAAACAGATTTAATCGAACTCGTGCCCAGGCCGCATACTCAACATTCGCATGAACCGAGTGGAGATTCTGCTGGTGAGGATCGGATGGTCATTCGGAAAGAAGTGCGCTATTCAATCCAATATGAAGATGAAAATCGGATTGCGAAGGATGAAAAAGCTCACGATGCTTCCGCTTATGTATAGCCAATTGTTTGTTTTGAAATACCATATAAATTTTTGAAACTTGCCCCTAATGCATCTAACGCCGTACGAATGTGAATGCTAAATTCATTGATGAGTTTTCGAATGCTTAATTGCATCCGGTCGCCTGAAAGGGTGGGCTTCAGTGCTCCTATAGTATCATTAGCCCACGAAGGAACAAATCCGAGACAAAAAGATAGGCAACTTACAGGACATACTCATCCAGACTGATATGATCTGGCTCGGAGAAAATCAGGTAGAGATACTTCAGGGTCTCTGCGAGCCAGAAACTCTCCATCTTATCCTCAAACCTTGGCTTTGAGTGACGGATGTCTTTGATAGTCGAATGTCCGTACTTGGTGCGTGTTGCCTTGTCAATGTGCTGGAACATGCGCCAAGCTGTATCCAGAAGCTTTTTATCTCCAGTAATCCGGTACATTATGAAAACAGACTCGAGGGCCTCGGGTCTAGAAGAGGTCAGCATGTCACAAGAAATCTTCCAGAATATTCATACCTCAGCTTATAGTTTGGGTCCTTGATCTCCGTGACACCGGGCGGCAACTTCTCTGCCTCGATTTGATCCTCCGCCGCCTCTCTCGTCTCCGCAGAATCAATGGATCGTGAAATGACCTCCGACATCCACTTTTCCTCGTCCCATGGACAATGGTCAAGTTCCTGGCAATGACTAACCTTGAAGATCTCGGGCATGATTCCGGTCGGCATGATATCGTAGGCCCATACACATCCATCTGTCAGACCGCGCGCAACAAACATATCCTGTGGTCGATTGAAGATCTTAGACGCAATCGCCACCGAGCCACCCATGAAACACTTCAAGTGATCAGCCGAGTATTTCAAAGTCTGAGAATTGCCCCGCAGGCCAATAGCATCCGCAGCAAAAAGGATATGTTGATCTTCATCTTTGGTCATGGCCCTGAACAGCAGTTTGTCGTTGAACGCTTTGATCGCTTTCTCGTACATCTTGCGGTACTTGTCTGTCTGCGCGCCGAGGAGAATGTGAGATTTCGGAAGATACTCGTATGCAGAATCGGCACATCCGCCGATCGTGAACTCGGAGTCCTCGAAATTCATCCTGTCCAGGTCTAGCCAAGTAGGCCACAGGCCAGGGATGCGGGTTTTGTCTTGTCCAATCTCAAGCTCGTCCATGACCCGCTGTACTGCGTCGTAATACTTGGGATCTCCCGTCACTTGTGTTAACCGCGTAAGCTCCAGCGTCAGGGAAGCAGCTTCCGCTAAACTGGTTCGAGGGGATGGGCTGATTTCTTCGCCTTTGGCGGATCTGGACGATCATCAATATCCTACCCTGTATGAGGGTAGATAGCCGGGGTTTGAAAAACCTACTTTGTCCAATCCCAGCGCACAGCAGGCATGCGATTGTGCGTATCAAACGCATGGTAGATCATCTCACCCAGTTCGGTAGCTTTCTCCAGTAAAATCGGATGCTTCCCGTTGGTCAGATCATGGGCGGCCATGAAGCCGCCCATGTAGCGGATAATAATTTCGAAAACAGGCACCTGTTTACTCTTCGTTGTTGTGAAATCGATCTCTTTTAGAGCTTCAAGGGCGAGCTCCAGCTCGTCGTCCAGACCCATAATGACTAGCGCGTCCATGGAATCGACCAGGGTGGCACCCCACCCATTGAAGGAATCCGTGTGGAAACCCGAGGTGGGTTTGACTTCATCGCGCAGCCAGGCGCGTTCTTTGTAGCCATTCCAGGCGTGCATGAATGTACTCTTGACAGCATCGCGCCTTTTCAGGCGTTGACGGCGCTCGCTGTTGGTTTCCTTGGGAAACTCATATTGGATGCGCGGGATGGTTGCTGAACCGGTGGGTAATTGGATGAATTCTTTCACAGGATATTTCTCGGCGACTTTGTTTAGACGAATGGCATCTGAGCGAATTGTTGTGTCTTGGCGAGAAATGGGCTTTGGGAGACGTCGGAGTGATTGTGTTTTGGGGAGCCAGAAGAAAAGAACGTAGGTGGCAATAATGAGAAATATCGCCGTAGGGAGTGGGCGACTTTTGCGTCGGGGTAACATGGTAGGAAATACAAAAGGATTGTGTGTAGGAGAACAAAGCTGGAGAAGGAGAGATGAGACAGATTCACGTCATTAAGTCAGCGACCTTGATCGACAGCCAGAATGTTACCTCACAAGTTCACTGCATGTTTATTATTAGTCTACTCTGTACTCAGAGTACAGCCTTAGTGGACAGAGCTTCTAGACTCTCCAGTTTAAAGTGTTACACGTTGAACCCTGCCAAGGGTCTTTCCCCACCACGGCCCCTGAATGTCAGAGCCCCTTGATCCTGATACTGTGGAAGCCTTTTGGAAACAAGCAAATATTAAGCTCCTATCAAAAAACCAATGGCACGCTAGGGGAGAATCATCCGCAGATGTTAAGAGGTGCTTGGCTTATGATGCTCACAAGAAATGCCCTCGGGCTTAACATTGGAAAAGAAAAAGTACAGAAAAAGTAAAGAAAGTGCAGAAGTAAGGGATCGAGCCAGAGGGGGCCTTAAATATGAAGTACGTACTCCGTACTCGTCTCGTACTCAAGTACTTTGGACATGGCAAGTCAACTCCAGGACTTTTGCCCCCAGTGGCTTCGATGTTTCATTGTATTGCATGTTTGCACTGTTTGCAGCGACGGCCATGGCCTTCAAACATCTAACATCACTCTCCCAGCACAAGATCCAAGATCCAAGATACTACATTGAATATTCGACCAGAGTATGCGCATATCCCAAATCTGCAAATTATATACTAACGCACGGACAGCTTTACAAGCATCGAACACCTTGATGCTAACGATCAACACCGGCCTGCATCATTAAGAGCATTGCTCAGCCTATATCTGCTGCCGTTATATTCTTACCGCTAGGAGTATTGCAGAGATATCCATGCTTCCAAAGAGTCATTGAATTGAGCTTTTAAACATATAAAATTGCAGGGTCGATCCAACGAACCACCGCCAGGCCTGTCAGATCCAACACTGGCCTCAATAAACACCAACACAACCAAAATGCCAATCACAGGGTAAAGCCGTTCTTTCAGCATCCAGATCCAAGAAAGAAACTAACCAGTCAGGGTTTACTTCGTCCCATCCAACCCTAATGCCTCAACAGCCCTACCCCAAATAACAGAGCGTCTGCGGAGTTCCTTCCCAGACGAAGAATTAACCCCAGTCGGGCGCTGGGGATTGGAACAAAAGCTACTCCGCGACACACCGGGTCTCATTCCCCCTCAGAATGCCAAACCGCCTATCCCCCGGTACATGCAATTTCTGTCATTGTCGCATTACCCGACCCATGGCTTTGTCTACACTTCCGAGCCAGAGAAGCAACCTCCAACAGACCAGCCTTTACCAATGGTGATGACAAGCGTGCCACCTCCGGCTTTCGCCACGCTCTTCCAGCATTTCACGTACGCGTGCCAACCCCTTTGGACTCATCGACTGACCCTGGCTGTACCGAACGGGGTGGTCTACGACGTGGGCGATTTCAGAGTGCGTCTGGGAGATGTTCGGCAGACGTTCCCGACTGCTCGGGTGCGTGGAACGGTGGTGGAAATTGAGTGGAGGGGGCCCTCGATTGTGGAGGGGGAGTTTGCAGGAATCCAGGAGGAAGATGTGGATGCTGAATATGCCGCGACAGCGGAATTGATCAGAGAGTTTTGGGGGAAGTTAGGAATTCAGGGACGCGAAGCGATTCTGGTCCCCGGTGTTGGGAGCGAGGTCAAGGAGAGATTAAAGGGGAATGGAAAAGAGGATTCTGCTGGAACGGACGTTGCCAGGCAGTTTATGGAGGTTCTGAGGTTTAACCGGTGATTTGCTACGGAGGAATCGGGGATGTAGACTATATGGGGGTATATCGTCGTTTCTGGATTGGATGAACGCTTGGCTCAAAGTACCGCCCAATTCAGTCCGTCTGCATTCAAAGCACACATAAACGCTTGATCGTCAATCCGTATATAGCCTAACGAAGACTACAGGAAAAAGTGGAAAAGTCGAAGATGAAAGAGAAGCATTCTCGTTGAGGCGACGTCAGCTAACATGAAAAAGAGGCACGTGGCATGCGACGTTTATTTTTGCATCATGAGCTGGACGAACTCGTTGTCTGCGCGGGGAGGGGTCAGCATATGGGGGGTTGTTTCGGGTATCGTTGGCGGGGTTCATACAGTCGATCCGGCCATCACCATCCTGGTCCGCCTCGCGGATCATCTCATCGACCTCGTCGTCAGTGAGCTTCTCACCAATGGAAGTCATGACGTGACGGAGCTCGGCAGCGGAAATGAAGCCGTTGTTGTCGCGATCGAACACCTTGAATGCCTCACGGATCTCCTCCTCGGAGTCGGTGTCCTTCATCTTGCGGGCCATCATGGTCAGGAATTCTAATCGCTTGTCAATAGCCGTATGCGGGATCTCGTAGGGGAGAGGCAAGTACCGGGGAAGTCGATGGTACCGTTGTTGTCGGCATCAACCTCGTTGATCATATCCTGCAGCTCGGACTCGGAGGGGTTCTGACCCAGGGAGCGCATGACGGTGCCAAGCTCCTTGGTGGTGATTTGTCCTGGGAAATTAATTTGGATTAGGATTTTATTGCGCTCTGGAAGCAAGCTCCGCACTCACCATCGCCATCCTTGTCCTGGTTCGCGAAACATCGCCGGTCAGCATTCCGATCTCCCAGTCAGCACGTGGGGTTACTCACAAACAGGGAGAAGGCTTCCTTGTATTCGGACACTTGCTCTTCGGTCAGGGAATCAGCCTAGAGGTGGTTAGAGATACTGTACCCCGCAATGTACGAGGTTGATCTGACAAGATGCCGGGAAGAAAACGTACCATGATGAATGTGGATGGGGAGAAAGTAATTGAGAAAGGAGGGGTCAAATGGAAGATGTTAAAGGGGGGGAGCCTTACCAAAATAGCGTGCCTGAGGTGCCCAGTCAGAGTTGTTTCACCTGAGGGCGGTGGGGGTCCCAGGGCTGAAGCCTCAGCTGACAGCTGTACTCTACTGCTTTTGTATCTGAGACTGTGCATATAGTGTGTACAGCATGGAGAACTCTACACCTGGATGCTTTCTACATACTTTGTGTTTTTTTGTTTACTTCGCTCACTCTCCTGTGTGAAACGCCTCGAGGCTTGGTCAATCTGCAGGCGCAATCTAGGTACCATACAAAATAATATACGGCGTAATTGCATTAGCAGGTTCTTGGCTTTTTGCTTTATCTCTAGGGCTGATGTACACTGCGGGGCTCATACTCCAGGCTGTTTCGAGATCTGGATCTTGATTATATACTGTGTTTTGTACAGAGTAGTTCCAGAGTTGATGTTGGATCGATACCTAGGTAGACCTTGTTTTCTGCATATGTACTTGAAGGTCTCTTCGGTCTACATTTTTCGTCCCAGGGGTTACATGAGGACTATTTTAAGAAATTTGGTCCACTGTGTTCGGCAGAATACTAGTGTCCATAATATGGAGCATATGCAATGTACTCGTAAATGCTGTATTAGTACTACTATTTGTAGCTATGGAGTAAAATGGCCCTATTCGTATTCGTAGCTAGTGTCCGGAGTACTCCGCACTCCGTGGCAAGTGACGATATGCACCGGACGAGTGCAGTAGATGATCTAGTAGTTTTACTCCGGGCCAAGGCTCGTGATTTTGTGGATTCAAGTTTAGTTGCTCGCATACAAAGTACGGAGTACTCCGTATGGAGTAACTACTTGGGAAGTCTAATGCTATACTAAGTACGAAGTATTGACTAGATCCTAGTGATCAAGAAGCTGCAAAACATCGTGGACCACGCATACTTTGCAATGATAAAGGGATCATGTTGCGAGCGTTGATAGATGCGATTCTTACTGCAGGGCCGTACCAAAAATACACCAGAATATGGAGAGAAACCGGATGATTACACAATGAATACCGGGCATACGTGACCTCTTCCGCATGTGGAGCTCCCTATCATCTCCGTCTTCCAGACTCCGACATTCCAAGATTGATCTCGACCTTTCCACTCGATCATGATCCCGACAAATACGCAATAAGCAAAGAATCTATTCCGATCCTCCGCCAAGATGTGGCGGGATCGCACTAACCTGTACGCAACCCCCCCCGACATCGAAGCCACCGCAACCCTCACTGACACGAACCCAGCTATCTCTCCTACCGCCAATCCCTAATTCACCACCCAGCCAAGAAGCCACAGTTCTCAAATGGCCTCTCCGAATCTTCACAGCCGGAAGAGAGCCGGCGCCTCATCAACGATGAAGATGGCGACATGGTCATCGAAATGGACCTCCTTCCACCCCGTTGGATAGACGTACAAGAAGAAGTCTCCGAGCTCCTCGCCGAAATCGCCCAGAACTCCTCCCAGCTCGACAAGCTTCACCAGAAACACCTTCTCCCAGGCTTTGGCGACGAAGACCTGCGCAAGCAGGACGAGGGCGTGATCGAGCGTCTGACGCAGGACATCACGCGCTCGTTTCACGAATGTCAGCGCGCTATTCAGCGCATCGAGTCCATGGTCTCGGAATCCAAGGAGCAAGGTACTGTGACGAGTGGCGAGGAGACAATGGCGAAGAATATTCAGATTTCGCTTGCGGCGCGCGTGCAAGAGGCCAGTGCGCGCTTCAGAAAGAAGCAGAGTACTTATCTGCGCAGTACGTCCATATCCATAAGTCGGGAATTGTTGGTTGTGCTAACCAGTGCTAGAATTGAGAGACCTGGAGGGTATAGCCACACCCTTTGATAGAGTGCCCACGCCACAGAACCCATACTCGGACCCGTCACTGATGGAGTCTGATGCGGATAAGTCGTTCTCGCAGACTATGTTGCAACAAACTTCGCAACGGCAGACGGGGTCCAACGATGCGGCGATTGCGCAGCGTGAGCGCGAAATAAATGATATCGCCAAGGGTATTATTGAGCTCTCAGATATCTTCCGTGAACTGCAGGGTATGATCATTGATCAGGGAACGATGCTTGATCGAATTGATTACAATGTTGAGCGGATGGGAACTGAGGTCAAGGCTGCGGACAAGGAACTTAAAGTAGTATGTTTTCCCATACAGGTTCATTCTCTTTGCTGGGTTGTGCTAATTTCTGTCAGGCCACGGGTTATCAACGGCGAACTATTAAACGCAAGATCATGCTACTCCTGCTTTTGGTCGTAGTAGGTATGATAATTGTCCTGGTTGTGAAACCCAAGGGGAGCAGTTCGCCACCACCGCCGCCTCCCGAAGATGAATCCTCGAACAATATCCGCTCTGTCTTGGCTTATCGGGGACGAAGACACCAATTATCGAATCGATTCGCGCGAGATCGATGGATGGATCCAGACATATTTCGATGATACCTTGTACTTATTAAATAGCATTGAATGATCGGTTCCTCGGACCACCACAGATGCACCAATCCTACACCTCTAGTACATACACCGGGCCCGTTCTGCTGTCTTAAAAGGCTCTTGTTCCAGGGTTGCTTATTGCTTTCGAAGCGAGTTAAGATTAAAGGTGATGTAATTGAAAACGCCAAACTAGACCAAAAAGCTCGGTGAGGTATGTTACACAATTGCACTGATATATCAACCCAAGATGCACGGTGGAAGACATATGCAGCAAATAGTAAGACGTTGCAGCAGAAATAATGCACATTGTGGGAAATCAGAGAATAAATGGCCGTGACCGGTTGTATCCCATATCTACTGCTTGCTCTGATTAAGCAAAGCAGCCAAATCGGGATCCAGATCACCTCCCGCGAAAGCCGCATAATCTTCTTCGCCGTGTGAAATTTTGCGTCTCTTTGGTCCATTAGCCATGTCAAAGTCATTGACGTTTCCATGGCTCTGGGGGGCAGATGAAACAGCAGTAGCAGTTTCACCCATATCGGGCATTTGCTCCATGTTAGCCCACCCCGGAGCATCATCGTCGGCCTCCTCGGTGAAAGGGCCACGACGGATACCTTGCTTTTCAGGCTGAGGGGAGCCAACTGGCGTGATAGCCTCGACTGGGGGAGGCGTGAGGGCTTCGACTTCCGGGCGAGCAGATCCGTCGTCATGTGCGCCGTGATCGGAGCTAGTGGAGTTATCTTCGTTGGTCAGGCCGCGCATAATTGCATCTTCAACCTCATGTTTCTTGGCATCGGCCGAGTCCCTCTTCTTTGCGAGCTCTGCGGCGATATTCTCCTCTTTCGAAAGTTCTGCACGGTTTGTCTGGAGCATCTTTTCCAGCCCATCTATCAAGGCACGTCGAGATTTGATGACCTCGGAGACTGAGTTCTCTGCATTGGCAAGCGATTTCAAAAGTTGACTCAATCGTGCGGCTTGAACAGGCAAAGTTGGCTGGGGGGCGCTGGGATCGTGCAGCTTATCGAACTCTGAAGTCGCAGTTGCATTGGAGGAGTTGGAGCCGACAGCGGCTTTGCTGAGAGCAACTTGCAATGGAACAAGAGGCTGTAATTCGGATGGAGTAGAACCCGAGGAAGGATCCTTGAAGAAAGAACCCCCCAATGTCTGCTTCTTGGTGGTAGAGCGACTCTTATCGATTTCTGGAACTGGTCAATTCAACTGTCCGTAGGTCATGCGAGTTCAGCAATTGCACCAACTAACCGTCTACGCTGGATTCCACGGCATCGAGGATAGGCCCCTCAAAGACATTGCGCTGTCTCCAAACTTCGATGACTCTGCGGATTCGTTGTTGGAATTCATGCGACGCGCCCTTGTAAGCCGTTGACGTAGCCTCCACGATGATCTAGGGTCCCGTTAGTTGGGTCGCGACAGCTTTGGAAGGGAAACGGACCGGAGAGAAGGCAATGAGGAAGTCGTCTTTACCGCGCGCTTTAGATTGCTGGGCAACCTCTGTATTTAGTTAGCAAGCCGTGAAGTGACGTCGCGGGAGGGCATGCGCACCATTGGCAAGATAGATCAAGTTCAGGCGCTTTGGAGGGGGAGAGTCGCGAATCTTACTGAGCCAGATCTGGCCAGTCCGTTCCGCATGGCGCCTACAATTGAAGTTCTTGTTAGCATATTCAGGTTAGATTAGAGATCGGAGAGCTCAGTGTTTGTGTACCTGTGGAACATGACCCACTGAGCGACAGTAACGATACTCTCCTGCGTCTCATTGAGAGCTGACAGCTTCGCTTTAACTGCATCATCGGTAAAGGCCATTCTGAAAGAGTTCAATTGAAAGATCTGAAGTGAAGTGAAAGATTGAAAGATGGAAAGTCGAGTTCGTCAAGTAGAAGGAGAGAGGTCCCAGGTCGCAAAGAAAGGCAGCTACGTCCCAAATGTCAACAACCCCAGAGTAGGAAGGAACGCGCTTCTCAAGAAAGACTTCCTCCCCAAATTTATCAAAATAAAAATCTCAGGAACGACAACGTTTCCCAAAACACCATCGAAGTACAAGTGCTACCCAGCTTGAAACACGATGGCCAGTCTAGGCAAGCTTACCGCCCCCGGCAAGGCAGAACGGTCCTCCGAGCCCGCTGCCACACCTGTCAACACCTCTGCCTATGCCCAATCCCTGCTTGATACTCTGATCTCTTCATTCGATAATCATCTGCTTGACTCCGACCTCTCTATCCACTCCTACAACAGTCAGATCCAGTCCGTTAACAGCATGGCCGACCGTTTCCCTTCCCTGGAGGACTTCTCTGAAGGTAGACTAACCCACTACTCTCCTTACAGCGGAGCTAACATACCCGCAGGCCAGACCGAAGTGGCCGAAGCCCCCACCGCTACTGATGACGATTTCCTTGCCCGTGAACGCGCCGCTCTCGGAGAGGACGCCGACCAATTCGCTACTGCCCAAGACCACGTCGGTGAGACCGTAGGCGGCGATGACCTGCTCGGAGGTGACGAGCCCGTTGAGGAGATTGGCCAATTCGAATCATCTTTCCCTTCCGTCGAAACTCAGAACCAGAATGAGGTATGAATAGGTTGTCAAGAACATGGTGAATACAATGCTGACCAGGGGTTTCTATCTGTTCAGCGCGTGGCTCCCGGTGGCACAATTACTGGCACCGGATCACCTTTCCCCCGTACCGGATACTCAAACCCCCAAGAGCCTGAAGATGAAGGAGATGCTGTCCGGTATGTTTGAATCCCGAGCCTGGACCATGTGGCGCATGTGGTCTTAAAATCGTCAGGCGCCAACCCGGATTGTTGAGCTAACATCTTACCTCCCTATAGTGAATGGCGCGAGAAGCGCGACGCTGAAGTTACCCGCCGCGCACAGGTTTCTGCGGAAAAGAAGGAGGCAACCGTAAACAAGGCCCGGGAGGACATCGATGACTTCTACGTTTCATACAACAACAAGGCAGACAAGAACCGCTCGCACGCTCGCACCGAAGCCGAACAATTCCTTGAGAACCGCGAGGATACCTCTGCTGGTGGAACTAGCTGGGAGCGCATTGCTAAGCTGGTTGATGTTTCGGGCAAGGGCTCCGCGGGCGGTGCCAGCGGCTCTGGCAAGGAGCGTTTCCGTGAGCTGTTGCTCGACCTTCGAAAGGATCAGGAGGCTCCTGGCTCTACCGGCATCTAAATGAGTTAATTGAACGCAGGTTGGAAGATTGGAGTTTCAGGTTCAAGTATGCGGTACCTACCGGTCTTGAGTTCATATGATACGGCCTCTTTATCTTCATCCTATTCAGCGGCCTTTCTCTTCTCCTTAGCTGGCTGCTGAATTTTGTCCCTTTGTTTCTTATTTCCAATCCACGCAGCGAAAACTAAGGGATTTGTAATTTAGTTTCTGAACTTGATAGCATCGTTAATACCACGGGCTCAATACGGTCATCGGCCTCCAACGCTTTTCTAGGACTAAGTAGGTACTCAGGCCAAAGAGCGATATCTTCCAACGTTACTCCTAAACGTTGGTAGACGCCATTGTTTCAGGGTTTAGATAGCCTCACGGATCATAGTAAATACATTGGAATTTCAGCTAAAAACAAGTCCTTCGACTAAGTGAAAGAGATGCATACATTCATCACATCATGAGCGCTTTGGGAATCTCTCTTTTAATCAAGCTCAGTAACATCACCTCCGGGTTCGCCGACATCCTTGCCCTCTTCCTCCAGCTCCTTCAACTTCTTCTGGCCCTCAGCTGTCGTGGCATCAACGATACCCTCCTCCAAACTGAGCATGCCTCCATTGCCCAAAGCCTCGACAACGACCTCAGCTTCCTCGACAGACATTTTGCCCAGAACCTTGTTGACCTCGTCCAAGGACTCGGTCTCCAATGCCTTCTGCAAGTCCTGAGGGAAAGCTTCAAAGATCTTGCGAACCTCGATCTCGGTGGGGTCTTCGCTGTTGGCAGCTGGGAGGTTGATGGTGATCTTGGTGTTGGGGTCAACGGCATGCAACTGGATTTGCTCCACGCCCGCGGGATCGTTACCCGAGCCTTCCTTGCTGAGTTCAGCGGTACGGGACTTGATACGGCCATATGTTTCGTTGACGTCGTTGTGGAACAGATCTGAGGCACGGTGATCCTTTGTGGTAATGCTAGATGATGTTAATGCGTGTTGCGCGGCGTTCAAGGAATTAACATACCGAGTGAAGAAGAGCTGGATACCATCACGGCCGAGCGAGCGGCAGTACTGTAGAAGTAGACCTTGGTGGACGCACTGACGGGCGTAGTCTTCATCACCCTTCATCTGACTGTTGAATGCCTCGACCAGCAGGCCATCTGTCTCTTTTTCGGCCACGATGTCGGGGTTGGCTGAGATGAATTGCAAGTAGGCCTTGTAATCGCCAGTCTTCAAGTTGGCAAATTTCTTTGCTAGGGGGCTGATCTCAACGTCGGCGGGGTCTTCGTCGTTGCCTTCATCGTCGGCCTTCGATGCGCTTCCGGCGCCCGGGTTCAACAGCTCAACGGAACTCTCCTTCTTTTTGGCAGCAGCCTCAGCTTTCTCCTTCTCTGCAATCTTAGCGACATGTGATTGGTTGAAACCTTCATGCAGCTGGTCACTGGTGATTTTGGCGCCCTCTTCCTTTTCGAGTTGCGCAAGCTTGGTGTGCAATTCCTTTTGAAGGCCTTGGATCTTCTCTAAATGTCCGTTAACACCCTGGATGTATGCCTTGAAAAGGTTGTCGGGCTTGGAATCCCCAATCTCCTTCTTAACCTGGTCCACCAAGGAGCTCATCATCTGAGAGAACTTGGGCTGTTCAGGCTCATTTGTGTATACACCCTCTGGCGGGGTGGGGGCCTGGTCTTCGGCGGGGTTGCTGGCGAACTCCATGATGGTAGAGAAAATGAACTCATCGGGGGAAGCGGAAGAGTCTTCATGCTTCTTCAGTGAAGTGATGAGCGTGTCGATGCGCGACAATAGTCCATCATTGATGATGCGCTCGTATTTCAAGGTCTTGATCTCATGACGGCGCTGCTCTCGTTGCTGGTGAATCTGAGCTTGCTTGGCTCGGATGAAAGAGCGCTTGTCAACATTGGGGTGGACCTCAACATCCGAGTCATCTGAGAGCTCCAAGGCGTCCCATTTGCTGTAGTCAAGCACCATCGTGTGATTGCGAAGTGAAGGAGTATAAGGTGGGGTGACAGTCGATGGAAAACAAAAGGTTGGACAGCTAGTTCAAATAGTCTCCACGCCGTATGAAGTGTTCACCGAGGGATATGAAACCGAGAGAAGTATGAAAATACAAAACAGTCGGTCAAAACAGAGGTCCAAACAAAACGAAGAATATCCAAAGCTCTCGACCCGATTCCATGGCAAAACCAATGGCGGCGAATTCCAGCAGAATCGGCCCCGAAAACCGCTTTGCCGATGCCGCGGACGAAGCTCTGGACTTCACCTCTATCAATCTCAAGGAGCCACCCTGCCATGTGATATGGTGAATCTGAACATACTCGATTAGATATGGCATGCCGTTGTCCTCTTCGGTGACACAATTTCCACTTCCTCCGACCCTTGACTTTCCGACATACATCCGAAATGCGCACTCGGTTGCCAGTGTCTCTGGCTCTGGGCGCCAGTCCGCGCCAGGCCTTGCGGCCATACAGCTCCTTTGCGCGCGATATAATCAGTAAAGCGACATCGAAACCTGTTGCATGCGACAGCAATGGCTCAATTCGCCTCCATTCGACCCTCCATTCGACCGCCTCGGGTGTACTCCGGAATGGTCCCAATCCTCTCGTACTCCAAAACAGCAGCGCCAAATATACCCCGTCTACGTCTCGCATTATCGCTTCAGCGCGTCTCTTATCATCCACCCCGAAATCTTTCCAAGCGAAACCACCAACCCCCGCGGAAGCCGAACATGAGGCTCCTCGTCCAACTCCGGAATCGGAAGAGGACAAGGGCTTCGAATTATCCGAGCGAGCAGCGCAAGCAGCTCAAGTGAACATGAGCGCCAGATTGAATAAAGATGGCGGAAAGAAGTCCGGCTTCGCAGAGATTGTGCGACTGCTGAAAATCGCACGTCCTGAATCCAAGGCCCTCGGATTTGCCTTCTTCTTCCTCCTGGTTTCCTCCGCAATCACCATGTCAATTCCTCTCTCCATTGGTAAGATCATTGATGCTGCAACCAAGAACATTTCCGAAGGAGCCGGGGAGCTGTTTGGTCTGAGCATGCCCATGTTCTATACCGCTCTTGGTGCCATTCTTCTTGTTGGTGCCGGTGCCAACTACGGTCGCGTCATCATCCTTCGCATTGTCGGTGAAAGAATTGTCTCTAGACTCCGTTCCAAGCTTTTCCGTCAGACTTTCATCCAGGATGCCGAGTTCTTCGATGCCAACCGGGTCGGTGACCTGATCTCCCGCCTCAGCTCCGACACCGTCATTGTTGGTAAAAGTATTACGCAGAATTTGTCCGATGGCTTGCGAGCCGGTGTTAGCGGTGCAGCTGGATTCACAATGATGGCCTATACCAGCGCGAAGCTGTCTGCTATCTTGCTTGTATTGCTCCCTCCGGTCGGCCTAGGCGCTTTCTTCTACGGACGAGCGATCAGAAACCTGAGTCGCCAAATCCAAAAGAATTTGGGTTCGCTGACCAAGATTGCTGAAGAGCGCCTGGGTAACGTCAAGACCAGCCAGTCGTTTGCCGGTGAAGTTCTCGAAGTCAATCGGTACAACAAGCAAGTTCGAAAGATCTTTGATCTTGGCAAGAAAGAGTCTTTGATCAGTGCTGCGTTCTTCAGTTCGACAGGTCTTGCTGGAAACTTGACCATTATGACTCTGTTGTATGTCGGTGGAGGCATGGTGCAATCAGGTGCCATCAGCATCGGAGAATTGTCATCATTCTTGATGTATACTGCCTACGCTGGATCAAGCATGTTTGGCCTTTCAAGCTTCTATTCCGAACTCATGAAAGGTGTTGGTGCGGCGAGCCGACTGTTCGAGCTGCAGGACCGCCCGCCCACAATCCACCCGACCAAGGGTCTCAAGGTTGAGACAGCACGTGGCCCAATCCGGTTCGAGAATGTTACTTTCAGCTATCCTACACGACCCGCTGTCAAGATCTTCAACGAGCTGAATTTTGAAATCCCACAAGGAACCAACGTTGCTGTCGTTGGACCTTCGGGAGGTGGCAAGTCCACCATTGCATCACTGTTGCTCCGATTCTACAGTCCCACGGAGGGCCGAGTATTGATCAACGGAAAGGATATCAATGGAATGAATGCCAAGTCCCTTAGGCGAAAGATTGGTGTTGTTTCGCAAGAGCCTGTGCTCTTCTCCGGGACAATCGCTGATAATATCTCCTATGGCTTGCCTCGCGCCACCCGCTCCGAAATAATCGCCGCTGCCCGCAAAGCCAATTGCCAATTCATCAGCGACTTCGTAAGTGCCGCACAATCAACCACGTCAGTATCCATGCTAATGTGAATAATAGCCTGATGGACTCGATACTCATGTTGGTGCTCGTGGAGCCCAACTCTCAGGCGGTCAAAAGCAACGCATTGCTATTGCCCGAGCGCTTATCAAGAATCCCGATATTCTGATTTTGGATGAAGCTACTTCTGCCTTGGACGCCGAGTCCGAAACTCTCGTCAACAGCGCACTGGCATCTTTGCTCCGTGGCAACAATACCACGATCAGCATTGCTCATCGCCTTTCAACCATCAAACGCTCTGACACCATCATTGTTCTCGGCAATGACGGTAAGGTCGCGGAGCAGGGCTCCTACGAAGAGCTCAGCTCCCACCCAGATGGTGCCTTTACCAAGCTCATGGAATGGCAAATGAGTGGCGGTGACACACCTCCCTCTCCAGCTAAACCCATTGAGAGAGATGAATATTGGCACCTCGAGAAAGAAATGGAGTCAGAGCCTGAGGTCACACATGAAGAACAGGCAGACGAGCAAACCTCACGCAAGAACTAACCGCTGCATCCACCTGCTTCTATTCAACTCTATCCCTATTCCCAGAGACCTTCGTTATTGTTCAAATCATCTGTTGGATACCTTTCCCACGCCGCATCTCCCTCTGGTCTCATTCCCCTACTCCCCTCTCACGTACATTCTGTGATAGATATTTGTCCTGCAGCGTTTGTGTACAAACTTCGAAATAAATTACCTTATTAGATTTCTTTCATTTTTCCTTCCTCCGACCTTTCTTCTAGCCCGCAAAGTATACTTGATCTAAGGGTATTCAGGAGCCCCATAGTTAGCGCATCAAGGGGTGCCCACCACCGCCTGCAGCCCTGGAACCTCGGGGCCCGGGCCGGGGGCCCGTATGTGATTAGTAATGGGATCACCTGGCCCCGCACGTGCAGTGACAGCATTCCTCAGGTCTGTTGCAGCTGTCTCCAATGGACCAGTTTCCTCCTTTTCTCAAGCCCTTCTTGCTACATTGAGGGCAGAGAACTTGTATCACTATCATGGACCGCATACGCAGCCTCATAGCCCGTCCGGTGGCATATGAGCGACTCGAGGACTCCAATGCGGAGGATGCCGATGAGCCGATATATGCATCCCAATACCAACAGGCAGCCTTCTCAAGATTCAAATATGGAATATGCTTTCTCCTAGGGGTGTCTATGCTGTGGGCATGGTAAGCTAACCACATATTCTAAGCGTCAAGCATAGGCGGACAGCCCAGCTAACCAAGCTTCACTAGGAACATGTTCCTCGCGGCAGCACCTTACTTCTTCACCCGATTTCAGTCCGACGACTGGACAAGACTTCATTACCAGCCTTCGATCCAGTCCGTTTCGACCGTTACAAACCTCGGCACAGCTTATATTTTGGCGAAGCTGCAGAAGAACGCAAACTATCCGTGGCGAATTACACTCTCGCTTCTGATAAATTGCGTAGTATTCACCATCCTGGCATTCTCCGCCGTTGTGATGACCGACTCGTCGCCAATATCATACTTTGCCTTTTTGATGGTGATGGTCTTCGGGGCCAGTTTGGCAACAGGGATCAATCAGAACGGTGTTTTTGCCTATGTCTCTGGCTTCGGAAGGGAAGAGTATACCCAGGCAATCATGGGTGGCCAGGGACTTGCAGGTGTGCTACCCTGTATCGTACAGATTTTCTCTGTGCTCGTTTGGCCACCAAAGGATCAAGCTGGTCGCGAGGAAGGTGGAGCGGAGATACCACAAACGACTTTGTCAAGATCGGCGTTCATCTACTTCATCACCTCTACCGCAGTCTCGGTAGCTGCGCTATTGGCTTTCCTGTATCTGCTTAGACAACAGCCCTCAAGGCAGAAGGCAAGAGATGACGATGAGTCTGTTGAAGGACGATCGCATTCCAAAACCGTTAGCTTGTGGACTTTGTTTACCAAGCTGCGGTTCTTGGCATTTGCTGTCTTTGTCTGTTTCCTCATCTCCATGGTGTTTCCCGTTTACACGGCAGAAATCGAATCCGTCAATGACCCAGCCAAGTCGCGGGTTTATGATCCCAGCGTCTTTGTTCCACTGGCGTTTTTGATATGGAATCTGGGCGACTTGATCGGGCGGATGGGTGTCGCTATCCCGGGAATGTCAATGGGTCAGTATCCTCAGATGGCTGCTATTCTTGCCATTGCGCGTGTCATGTTCATCCCGATGTACCAGCTCTGCAACATCAACGGGCAAGGTGCTGTTGTCAAGAGTGATCTATTCTACTTTTTCGTGCAGTTCCTGTTCGGTGCAACCAACGGGTACCTAGGAACGAGCTGTATGATGGGTGCTGGGCACTGGGTTGTTGCTGATGAGCGGCCAGCTGCTGGTGGATTCATGAGTATGGTCCTCGTTGGTGGTCTGGCAGCGGGTAGCTTGCTGAGCTTTTCCGTTGTGGGATGATTGAATTCTCCGCAAATTTGATATAACAAATCCCGATATAATGAATAATGACAAATTACAGATGTTCAACTGCTATATTCCCAGTACCTAGATTATTTCTCCCATCTTCCTTTGTGTGGTTTTCATGGAGTCGATGTCTAGATGTTTGCCGTTTGTCAAGAAAGAACAAGCCCTAAGTGGGCTCTTGATATCAAAGCTTGTCGGCTTTCTCCTCCGTGTTTTCGAGCCCCTATAATTACTTACAATTCTACATAAACTGCTTCAGATGGAGACTTCAGACCAAGTATTTCAAACGCCGGGCAGATTTTCTCTCTCAAACACGCAACCCCAAACAAACTGCGGCTCCTGACCATCTCCATCCTCGTTCTCTCTCTTCCCGGCACACCATATTCATTCCTTACACCGCTCCATCCGTTTGGTGCATCGAGTTTTGAGAGGTTGGGTGTGTTTTTCATCCAGGTCTGAACTTGGAACCTTCATCCATCATTCCATCATGTCTCTCAGCACCTTTGATGGCGGTTACTTTTCTCGAGGCCTGGGCTTAATGCCCTTCTACAATCTACTGTGTGGAATTACCATCCTTGTAAGTGATTTTCAAGAATCACGAGTGATGAAGACTTGTGCTCATCTCAACTTATATATATAGCTGGTCCTATATTCCATTGGGTGGATAGTATGGACCCTTTTCTTCCACCCGTTGAGCGGTTATCCAGGACCCAGAATGGCTGCTATCACACCTCTGGTTCATCTCCTGTGGGATATTCAAGGCAAGCAGCACTCGGTCATTACCAGTCTCCATGACAAATACGGTGATGTCGTTCGCATTGCACCAAACGCCCTTGCGTACCGCAATGCCTCTGGCTGGAAAGAGATATACGGCCACCGCAAGAGAGGTGGAAAGGTCTTCATCAAAGATCCTGCATTATATGCCCCCACTCCCAATGGAGTAAATGCCATCATAACAGCACAGGAGGAGGTCCACCAACGGATGCGCCGTTTGCTGACCCATGCCTTCTCAAACAAAGCTCTCATGGCGCAGGAGGAAATCCTGCAAACCTACGCTGATATGCTGATTGAAAAGCTCCAAGGCATCATGGGAAGCACCTCATCGCAGCGCATTGACATCGCGAGCTGGTTCAATTTCACCACCTTCGACCTCATTGGTGACCTCGCTTTTGGTGAGCCTTTTGGATGCCTTTCTCACAGCAAGTATCATTGGTGGGTACTCATCATCTTGGATGCAGTCAAGGCCAGTGCATACCTCAAGATCTTTTGGTTTTACCCTTTTCTTGTGCCTTTTGTCAAGCTGTTGGTACCAAAGGACCTGATCGAGAAACGCGAGAAAAGCTTCCAGCTCAGCGTTGAGAAGGTCCGTCGTCGGCTCGCCCGTGACACTAGTCGTCCAGACTTCACTTCCTACATTCTGAAGCATACTAAGGAAGGCCTGACTATGTCACCTGAAGAGATGGATGCCAACTCGGCTGTATTTGTGCTGGCTGGCAGTGAGACTACCGCCGCATTGCTGTCCGGTGCGATCTACCTCCTCACCCGCAACCGGGAAAAATATGAGCGGCTCATCGGGGAGATTCGTGGTGCTTTCAAGGAACACACTGATATCAAACTTACTGCCCTGTTTGACCTTCCATATCTTAATGCCGTTTTGCTCGAAAGCATGCGTGTCTATCCCCCTATCCCTTCAATGCTCCCTCGAATCGTGCCTGAAGGTGGTGCGATGATTAATGATCGATATGTTCCTGCCAAGGTGAGTTTGACTTTTTTGTACCGACGGCGTGGATGGTGGTTGAGCTGCATAATGAATCTATCCGTGCTCCATTGTGTCGAATTACTCTTCTACCCTAGCCTTTTACACCGTGTGCTCAACATACTGACAGATCCATTCCATGCTCAGACTTCTGTCTCGATGTCCCCGTATTCGACTTTCCATGCTGCCGACCATTTCAAATATCCAGACACTTTCATTCCGGAACGCTGGCTGTCCGAAACAGATGAGTTCAAGGATGACAACCGAGCTGCCTTCCAGCCCTACTCCCATGGCCCTCAGAACTGCCTCGGACAACAGTAAGTTGACCCAATACTTCGGCCAATGATTGACCTTCACTCCCATCGCACAATTTGATTCATTCATGCTATATCATGCATAGACCTTGTCTACTGTACCTTATGCCATGCAGTCCTTCTCTTTGTGTTATCATTGCTTGGGCCCAAACTAACTGTTGAAACAGTCTTGCCAACGCCGAGATGCGACTCATTCTCGCCAAGGTTCTTTGGAATTTTGACATCGAACTCCCCGTTGAATCCCTCCCGTGGATTAACCAAAAGTCTTTCTCGCTCTGGAAACGGCCTGCTCTCATGGTGAACCTTATGCGAGCAGGTAGAATCTTTTAAACCTTTTTTTCCAGATCTTTCAAAGCTCCGCTCAAAGGTACAAGCATCACTCCTGGAAGAGCGGTGAATGGTCACTGGCACACAGGCCAAAGACACGAAAATCGGAAAGAAAAACGGACGAGTTTCAATGGCTGGAGTTGTGGGCATGGCGGCGTTTGCAAACTAGCAACCCAGGGCTTGTCTCGGAAGGGAATGCTGTTTGCTTTGGCGTGCGCAGGTTGGGACAAAGCCTTTTCATGGAATAGACAGCGCGATGTAAGGTTTGCATTTCACGATTTCACGGTAACATAGAGAAAGAATAGAGGTACCACAGTATTTGGGTTACGAACACCTGCATTTCAACTTTGGGAGTAGTTCAATCGTTGTTCGGGAAACTTCCAAGGCTGGAAGTTGCATAGGATTCGGAAATGAAACCCATGGTGCTCCAGAGCTGCCCAGGTGATACCCATGTATTAGAGTACAGATGCGAATAAAAAGAGGTGGTATATACAATCATAAGCCATGGCATGTCCAGGCATGCTATCCAAACGCCAAAGAGATGCAAATGAATCCAGTCATTTACCGGTATAACCAATGCAAAAATATTAGAAGAAGTCCTCTTCACCTAGCCACTGCGAGTCCATGGCATAGGCTACTAAATCTGCAGCACAACACATGTCTTCATGTCCGGTTTCTAAGTCCAAGAGTCCAAGGACGGCGTTAAGTCTTTCTTCAAGCGTATTCTTGAGACGGGAGATACCGGCTTGGAGATCCTTGGGCTTGTGTACCTTTGAATCACCAGGTTGTGATTTCAGCGCTTTTATATTAGGCGAGCAAGGGGCAAGGGCTTTGCGTTGAGGTTGAGACTGAGGCTCATCCTTCCTGTTCTTGAAAAGGCTCTGAAGCAAAAATAGTAGCCAGACCAAATTTGTGCGAGGAGCATATTCAGCCCAGATCCCGGGGATATCGGGGATTTTGTCTTTTTCAGCTGGGTTGCCGGAATAAAGGGTAGCGCGCATGCTGCTGGCTGTTAGTCAAAGTAAGCAGTAAAGGTTGTGGAACATACTATCGGTAGGTATTTCTCTGCATGATCTCATCTTCGTCCTGGCCAATAGCATCGAACAATTGCTTTTTGTCTAGATCGGACGATGCGATCTCGGTAAGGCCGCTTGGATCATCACCGAGCAGAAGATCAGCGCGGGAGAGCGAGTAATCGATGATGGTGGTCTCAAGCGTGCTGAATCCAAACCCACTAGATGATGACTGGCGTGCGATGTCTTGTTCAGTGGGCGGGTCCATGCGGCCGTCTTCGCGAGTAGAGCGAATACAGACGTTCCCTAAATGCAGATCTCGGTGCTCGAACATAGCGTACTCCTCTGCCCGGGCAAGCGCCATAGCGACGCCCCAGAATATATCGTAGATTTGGAAAATCGAGGACCAAGCAAACTTCTCCAGCTCACAGCCTGCATCGTCCATCTCGATGATAGCCCATAGCTGTGTGTCGGGATATGACCTCTTGTTGGACGGGTTGGGGTTCATGCAATCATCTTTGGTCTTCTTATAGTGGTCCCAGGCATTTTGGAAGGACTCAGGGAACCGTCCTTGGACAACGTGAATTTCTCGAAAGCGAGCGAATCCAGGAATTGGGTCGAGGTACTTGAGCATCTTGACCTCAGCGACGATTTCATCGATACTGGTGAACTTTTTGGACCCCGGTCCACTCTTTGCCCGGAGTGGCACAACCTTGAAGACCCCATCGCCGTAAGACTGCAGTTTGGCGAATTTTGATTTCGAAACTACTGGCCTGCAGGCTTCTTCGCGCAAATGGAGCTTATAGACTTCACCATATGAACCTTCAGCAAGCTTGACAACATCGAACATGTTGGCTGAGCGTGAAGCCCATGAACCAAATTTTTGGATACTCTGGGCGGCGATCGGGGAGAGTGCTTCTTTGAGGATCGGGAGAACGTATTCACTTGCTTTACTGTCATGGACAACTCCAGATGACCGTCTAGCTGCAGGAACCTTCTTCCGCGCGGCGCGCTTTCTTTCCAGGATGTGTAACTTTTCTTGGTCTGCAATCGTAGAATCCTCCACTGCAGGCAGCTCTGTTGCAATCATCTCCGGCTCCAATGGGGGTGTCGTAGGCTCAGATGGGGCGGGGGAAGCTGCAGTGGGCTCGTCGGTTTTCTCTGTACGTTCGGGGGAATTTGCTGCCACTTTGTTGTATATTACGACTTCCACCGCAGGTTTCGTTTTCGGCTTTTCTGAACGAGACTTGGGAGACACCTGTATACTCTGGGCATCTGGAGATTCCGCGATCGAAGACTGACTCGATTCCTCAGAAGGGAGATCTGTTGAATCTTGTTGCTCATCTTCACTCGGAGGCTCTGACTCTCCAGGGGTCATTTCGTCCTTGATCTTCACATTGGCCAATTTTGTTTGAATATTTCCCACGGGGTCGACATGTCGGAACTTGTTGGATGTAGGCTCTCTGGCCGGACTCGCTTCGAGGACTGCCCTGGGTGCGTTAACTCGTCGTTTGCCGTAAACCCTCCGCTGGGGGACCGACTTGGGCGGCATCGCTGCACCTGGTGATGGGGAGGGCGACCGTGCTGACATGGTGGAAATGCGCTAGGCTATCGAGGGTGATGTGGACGGAGTTAAGGTGAAAACGGGGAGTGGGAAGAAAGTGTTGACGTTTAGCCAGATTGGGCCTAGCGTAGTGTTGCCGTGGAACGGAAAACATCTGAAGTATACATCGATGTCTACTCCGTACAAACGCTGTCTACAAAATACATATCGAGATACTTTAGTACTTAAGTATCTTAGTATCTTCTGGAATATCCCGCCGTGACCTTGCTATTCAAATACCCCCAAGGTTGTATCAGAACTCCATAGGATGAGAGGTCCTCACCAGCGGACGTGCTTCGAAGTCGCTAGTTAGGGGGTGATCATCACTTAGCGGCGTAACTAATAAGGAGAACTTGTACGGAGTTGTTATGTGCTTTAGACAAATTAGACAAGTTGAAACCTTAGAGAATAACCTGACACCTAGATTGTTGACGATATCATTGATAGATTACGTCGATTCGAGCCTGACATCTTGTCTCAATGCTTTTGAGCCTAATCCTGTCCCTTGCTTTCTGTGTTTGAACGTGGGATTAAAGATCTACTAAATTAAAATACCTCCGTTTCAACCCGCGACATCTCATGTTTGATCATCTTCATCCAGTCAGGAATAGTGCAAATAGCCCAGAGCCTAGATACCCGTAGACATGCAATCACTCTGATCCCTGGATACTGAGTGGCTTATAAACAGCCACTACCCACAGTGGACTTCAAGGCCGGGGCTGACCGGAAGTGGTGGAGGCACCTGCAAGAACCCGATGTGACGTACCATTTGATCAGAATGTGCGTGAAAAACGCATCAGAGAGGGGAGTACTCCATAGAATTACTAGGAAATAAAAAGCCAATAAAACAAAGGGATCATGTACTAAAGGAGTAACAAAAAAAAAAGCAAAGAAGGGGAGAAAAAAAAAAGAAAAGAAAAGAAAAAAAGATTCCGTGTGGTCGGGGCACGCGATACCTCGGGAGGGCCTTTTTTCCTTTTTCTTACATTTTCCTCCTTTCGCCCCCCCATATACACCCCCCATATTCTCCATGTTCTCTGTATAATTTTTAATCGCTTGGGCATGGCGTTCAACTTCAACTGGTCGCCTTTAATGGCCGACGCGGGATTTTACACCCGCGCCCAAGATCTGCTTACTGCCGCCCTCAATAAGTCGCCAAAACCGCCCATCATCGTCGATGACATTCACGTCACTGAACTCAACCTGGGCTCCATCCCACCTGAACTGGAGATCTTGGAAATCGGTGACTTGGCAGAGGATCGGTTTCGCGGCATCTTCAAGATGTCGTACACAGGCGACGCCTTCCTCACGCTGAAGACCCGAGTCCAAGCAAATCCACTTAATACCTTCCTACTCACACGACCAACTTTCGCGTCGCCCGTGCCGCTGGCTGCAGCGTAAGTGATTATATCTTCATCTTCTCGTGAAAGAATCAATGCTGACCCTGTCGCGACCAGGACTCCACTCACAATACCTCTTCAAATTACACTATCCGATTTTAAACTCTCTGGGTTCGTGATACTCGTGTTCTCGAAGCAGAAAGGCATCACTGTTGTCTTCCGCAACGATCCGCTAGAGTCTCTTAAGGTATCATCGACGTTTGATTCCATCCCGTTCGTGCGCGACTTCCTGCAGAAGGAAATTGAGGCTCAACTTCGCATACTGTTCATGGATGAACTCCCCGCTATCATTCATCGATTATCGCTCCGGTTATGGGTCCCTGAATACCGCACAGGCGAGGAAATGAACGACGAAAGGGACAACACAGCTGCAACGACTGAAGGACCAGGTCAAGATCCCCTCGCGAGCCCGCCTCAAGATCCTGTCGACTCACTCGGAAATGCCCTCAACGAGTCCGAAATCGCGTCATTATCCTTGGACTCTTCCGTTGAAACACATTCCCTCTTCTCCCAAAAGAACCTCCTTCGCTTGGCTGCTTTGACCGATTCTCAACGCACTCTTTCGTTGTTCACGCCATCGATCAACGAAGTCGTGTATCGGGCATGGACCGCCCCAACCGACACCAGCGAGTTCCCATCGAGCGTAATTTCACCCCTCAGCCCGACTCTGTCCCGAACACATTCCCAAATTGGAAGCATGTCCTCTCTCCACGAAACCGCCAGCGCCGTGTCCATGAGTCGCTCGTCATCCACGCCCAGCCACACTTTCAACACCAGCACCTATGGCCTGAGCTTGGGAGCTGGACGTCACTCCAAGGCTCATCAGCGCAAGCGCAAGAAGCGCGTAGTTGACCTGCGCCGCCCGAAGACTACCGATGACGCTATGAGCGTCAGTGATGAGAGCGTTGTTACAGAGTCCTCTAGGCCACCCTCTATCGCCTCCGCGCCTCTGCCTATTGTCAGCGAACAGTCTGATGACCCCGTGACACCCCCTCTGTCCCCGGAGAGTGATTTCCACCTACCCCCAATCCCGGAAAGGCACCGGGCCAGCCTGTCGCGCCCGAACCGCGATCTCTCTTACTCCCATGAAACCATCCGCGCACCCAAGGCGGAGGATGTGGATGCCACACCCCGCGCCACAATTCGAGGTGTTGCCCATGAGAAGTCCGAGGCAGGGCCCTCTCGCTCACTGCCCTCGGCCGCTCTTCCATTCACCGAAGAGAAGTCTAATGACGGTGTTGATTCTGTGCTAGTTGAAAAACTAGCTGGTGAAATCGCCCGTCGAATGCGCGAGGATAAAATGATGACCAATGCTTGCAGTGGTTTCTGGTCTCGCCAGCATGAAGATACTCCTCCCCCGGCCTATGGCCATTGAATGCTTGCTTATGGTTAAGCAAGTGGAATGACCGTCACGATTCTCATTTGTTCTTTCATTTGTTCATGCTTAGTCTATTCACAGCGGGATTGTATAAAAAGCTGGGCTCGGAGGTTCTGTTTTTTGGCGTTGATATTTTTTTTTGCAGGATACCACTCACCGGGCCTTCACTTGATTGTAATTCTTCTAGGGTTTTGGTTTGGGAAGGATTGGATTGGTATTGAATTGGATAATGTTTTGTCTTATACACAAATTTCCGAGATATCGTAGATTTAAATTACTCGAGTCTTCGGCGTTTTACTTCAAAGCATCCGAACGAGGAACATCAAATTGTACGAACACGGCAAAGGCAAAGAACAACCATTGAAGACACGGGCCAATGTGTCAAGGGCAAATCGAAAGTCGACGGGTAAAAAAGCTGGAGACACCCGCGCTAAACCCGGGAGGAACTTAGCTCCGACTACTCGTATCTGGCTTCCAATTCCTTCCTCCTGCATCTTCCTCATCCATCATGGCGGGCATGTTCAAGAACGTGTTTGGCTCTCAGGCCAAACCTGAAGATGGTAATATCCATCATCTATAACTCAATTGCTGAGCTAACCGACCTAGACTTCGCCGACTTCGTGGAAGCTCCCAACCCGTCGCCTGCGTCCCTCCTCGCCGACTCCACGACCATCCCGGCCGCCAACACTCTCGCCCCCAATGCCGTTCCCTACACGGCATGGTACCGAGTGTGGGAGAGGACATCTCCCAGCGACTTCAAGCAGGAGGCCATGATCATGCCGGTCATCCTCGTGATCATCCTCTTCCACCTCTGGGGCACGCGCAAGAACCGCCAGAAGGCGAAGGCTTGGGCGCAAGCCCACACCCCTTCCCTTCAAAAGGAGTTCTCTGTTGTTGGCTTTGATGGTATCTCCCGACAGGCTGCCGAGGGTGTGTCTGTCGAGTTGGCTAGCCCCGAATCCGTTCTGAAGGAGAAGTCGGCTTCCGAGTTCGCCGCGTATGCGACTGGTCGTCAGAACACTGCTTTCCTCGATGTCTCCCTCAAGATGCCTAAGCGCTACAACCCCATTACCTACATCATGGAGTATGGTCTGAGCTTCTTCTTCGAGAGCTGGGAGCCCCCCGTTGAGAAATACGAGGCTCTGCTGTACGCTTTCGACGGCAAGGAGAAGGACCTTGTTCCTGTTCTTTCCAAGGACTCGACCCCTGTTAAGGTGCCCAGCTCGACTTACGATGGTTTCATCTGGGCCGTTGTGCACAAGAGCCACATGCGGAAGTTCCGCAATGACCGCTACGATGCCTCTATCACTTTCTCCAAGGACAACCCCAAGCTGCCCTCATGGGTGACTGTGATGACCGAGAGTGCTGAGATTAGCGACACTCTGCTCACCCCGGAATTGATCCAGGCCATTGAGCAGGCTGGTAATGACTTTGAGTACCTGATTGTTACTGACCAGCCTGTCGACCGCCCCACCAAGTACGTTTAATCCCAACATGTTGTTCAGAAACATTGCTAACAGGAGCAGGATCGAAGAAACCACCCCCAAGAAGCGCATTGAGCTCGCTGCCAACCTCGCTTCTTCCGCCTCCGGTTACAACTCCACACTCCCCTTGTTCAACCAGTTCCTGCGCTTGTCCGACAAGCTTGTTTCCTCCGCACACTTCCGCGCCGAGGTGATGCGCAAGGTTCGCAACGTTCGCGAGGAAGAGATCAAGAAGCTGCGCCGTGTCGAGGAGGAAGAAAAGGCCGAGGAGCGCCGTGCCGCCGCCGAGAAGGTCAAGAAGGACGAACGCGAGCGTCTGCTTCGTGGCATGAGTGCCGACGAGCAGCGCAAGTTCCTTGACCGCGAGGCCCAGAAGGACCAGCGCCGCTCCATGAAGCGGAGCACCCGTAAGGGCTAAGTGCGTTGTGTCAAGAAATTCTTTCTTCTGCCGTCTCGCTCTTTTCCCGAGGGCGCGTCGAATGTCTTATCCTGTCCTTTTGGTACCTTAATAGCCTGATGTATTCATATGAATCTGTCATGAGAACGGGGGATGTTTACAAATGTTCTTTTAAATTCAATGCAAATGTTTCCACCTTTTTATCAATCCGGCAACTGCGTATCCCCAATACTCCTGCCTCTGGTTCCTCTGCATGTCCTTTTTGCTCTTCAGTCACTCATCATTATCATATTCACTATGCATTCCTTACTCCTAATTCTGCTTGCAACGCTCTCCCTAGCACAGTCCTCGACAAACATCACTCTACCACCATTCGTACCAGTACCACCAAAACAGCCAACGAATACCTCCCTTCCTTACGGTAGCATCCTCAACCACTGTTACATCCCAGGAACAGTCGCCCTAACATTCGACGATGGCCCATACATCTACACATCCCGAGTACTGGACGTCCTCGCCCACCACGGCGCCCGAGCAACCTTCTTCATCAACGGCCGCAACCGCGGCCACATAGACCAGTTCCCCGAGCTGGTAAAACGAGCCCACGAAGAAGGCCACCAGCTAGGATCTCACACGTGAGTCAATCCTTATATTCCATGCTCTTCGCCCTCATATCCTAACGCTGACTACAGATGGGCCCACCCGTCCCTTCCAAACCTATCAAAAAGCCAGATCAGGCGCCAAATGACAGCTCTTGAATCTGCCTTTCTTCGCATCCTCGGCTTCTATCCGACCTACATGCGTGCGCCGTTTCTGGCGCACAGTGATGATGTACTGGATGTCATGGATGAGCTTGGGTACCATGTTATCGGGGCAAGTGTTGACACGAAGGATTATGTATTCGATGACCCTGATACGAATTGGCGGAGTTTTGAGAGGTTTATCGATGGGTTAGACGCCGGTGGTACAGTTGTGTTGGCGCATGATTCGCATCGAAATACAGTTGAGACTCTAGTGGAGGATATGCTTGAGGAGATTGAAAGCAGGGGATTGAGTGGTGAGTATCTTCTTATTGTCCGGGTGGATTATGCTGATGATTGTATGCAGCTGTCACGGTTGGTGAGTGTCTTGGTGACCACCGGTGGTACCGGACTGAGTAGACCGGCTCGGAAATTACTTGGATTCCTAGACGTTCTTTTTTGAAATTACACATGAGCAGTGTTTCTGTATTTACCTATCGAATTGACGTTTGCTGTACATCACAATGTTCAAAGTCTGCCAAACACCTTCACTCTCTCCTCGGCAGGCTTCTGGACCTTCTCGCCAGCCTGAGCCTCCGGGGCACCAAAGACCAACTGAGCAATTAGTCGCCAATCACTGGGAAGATCCCACTGCTTGGCAACACCGGCATCGATAAGAGGGTTGTAGTGCTGCAGGTTAGCACCGAACCCAAGAGCCTCAAGGCCAGTCCAAACTGCACAGGTTAGAAGAATCACAAGTATAACAGACACATTACTTACGGAAGTACTGATGCATAGCATTGGAGTGCTCAGCCCAAGGCACGAATTGATCCTTGTAGGTCTTGAACTTCTCCTGCATGGGTTGAATATGCGCAGGATCCTCGAAGAAAAGAACCTATTTTTATCAGCAACGATCGAAAAAGAGAAATATTGCCCACGTACCGTTCCATAAGCACCTTTAAACCCGTTCAACTTGGGCAATGTCTGCTTTTCCCAGATTTCCTTGGGAATCTTGCCTGAAGCAACGAGACCCTCGAATGCCTCGATGGCAATGTCCCACAGGCGATCATGCTGATCGTGCAGTAGCAGGACAAGTCGGGTGGATTGCGTGTTAAAAGCACTGGGGACATGCAGGATGGCTTCATTGACTAGTTCTTCGATCTTGGCATCTGGCACCGAGCTGCTTTTGCCCAGTTGGTAAATTGTGCGCCTGCCCTGGGCAAGAGAGATAAGAGACTCGGCCATTGGCTTTGTTGCGTATGTTCGCAGTTTGGGGAGTTGGGGTTGGAATTGGATGGATGTTGACAGTCGAGAAAGGGGTCTGCAAAGAGTGCTTGCACGGGTGAAGAGACGAGTAGCCATTTTGGAGTGCTTTGTTGGCGGGGGAATGTGTTATATGAGTAGAGTACAGGGTACTTAAGTACTGATCAGCGCTATCCCCAGGGTGGAATATGGATCTAGAGATTAAGCTCCGCTTATTCTTCGGCTTATTAGTCTGTTTGTTTCGAGGCAATTTAAGCCGAGCGGAATTGCGGATTTACGGGGGTTCGGCTTTAGAGCTATTTCTCAGCGGTTGATAAGCATTCTCACAGCACATTTCTAAGCTCTGACATTCCCAATGAGCAAACATGATTTCTAAAGTTCTTTCTAAAACTGTACGGAAACTCGACATTGACACACTTCCAAGGTTCGGGCGATCATAATCGTCCGAGACGGATCACATTGGAAAATTATCCACGTACCATTTCTTCCTAAGTAGCAGCTAGTCAAGTACGTGGGCTTGGAAACCGCGATCAGTCAATCTCTCACATTGATTGATGCCCTAGCTTCTGGTAGACTAGATTTGGCCGCATGGTACCATGGGTTTTGCTTTAGATCCTAAAGTACGGAGTAAAAGGGAGCAATTTAAAACTTGAATGTAAAAATGTTTACTATATATGATATAAACAAAGTCCACGGGTAGATTCAACTATTCCGAACGTAATGAACACATGCAAGAGTTAAAGCGACCGGCTCTTCCAATATGGTCTAAGTTCTTGAGGCGTGTTAGCTCTCCATTCGCAGCGAACAAGGGAAAAAAGAACGAAGGGATTTTCTTTGGCAGACTCAGAGACCCGTCTTGAAACATATAAGGTATCAATTTCACCATGAAAGGTAAGGTACGGATAAACTAGCATCACCGTATGCCGGGGGAGTTGATATGAAGTTGAGACAAAACGTACCTGAACCAGTCGGGACGAACCCGCCAGTGGGGACGGAATAAGTATCCTGAGACCCTGAATGGCTTCAATTTGGTATATCCCATGGGATATCAACCTGCGAAAACAACATAGTTTCCAATGCCTTTTGGTGCGGTTAATGAAGAAAAGCGAATACAGAAATTGCCTTTCAAAGTCCTTTCGAGCGATTCTGGGGTCGCCGGCTCATTTTCAAACACTGTGTCGCACTTGAGCAGAACCGGTCAAAAGTGTCGAACCAGGAACATTTTGGTTGAAACTTGGCGATTCTGGCGTAATTCCTTAGTAGTTGACACCAGAACAAAAGCATTTTGATAATTTAGCCATTTTATATGGGTATCCCTTACTTACGCGATAGGGCAGCGGCCCTACGCATCTTGTTTTCACTGTTTTCAGTTGATGACATCACCGATCGTCGTATACAGGACCCAAAAGTCCATATATTTTTATTTACATTAATGTCTTTGTATAGTCTGAATTGAATTTTCTGTTCACTCTTGATGGTTGTGGAATCTTGACTCTACTTATTCACGCCAGTCAAAGTGTGTAGAAGTATGGGGATGGCTTCAAGGTTGAGATATTATTCGGCATGAGGATAATGGTACCCTGAAGTTCATCACGCCAATGCGCGGATTTACCCAAAGAAAAATTGCTTCAGAGTGTCCCCAGTCTAACAAAGGACCACAAAAGGGAAGCAACAACATGCAGAAAACAGCCAAAGAAAAGCACCCTGGAAGCACAATCTTGTATTCGAAACTACAAAAGAATGGCATAAGGAAGACCCGAAGCTTTACGTTCTGGCGTTTTCTATCAAAGATGTTTAGGTTAACAATCTATCGCCTTCAAAACCTCAGACTTTTTCAATTCATCAACTCCCTGCTGGGTGATTGGAGAACAGACTTACTATCTCGTAGGGGTAGCCATACTGGGTACCCATCCATGATCGCAAGCTCGAGTTCAGAATCAGAAGAAGTACTAGAGGAGCTGGAGGAGCTGGAGCTCAGAATGGGCAGCAGCTCTTCACTGACCGGAACAAGATCATAGACTTGACCATGTCCAATATCAGAGTTGCCCTGGGCAGCGGGCTTGGAGCAATCTTCATCACTGATGTATACTGGATCAGAGCCCTGGCTATTCTCGTCAAAGTTGCCCTGGGTAGTGCCCCCATTGGCCGATACTAGGCCGGGGACTTGACCACTTTCAATGTCGGAGTCGCCTCGGGCAGCGGGTTCGAGGCCATCCCCATCACCAACCGATACTGGATCAGGTACTTGACCATTTTCAATTTCAAAGTTGCTTTGGGTAGTGGGTTCGGGGTCTTCTCCCTCACTGGCCGATTCTGGATCAGGGACTTGCCCATCTTCAATCTCAGAGTTGCCTCGGGCAGTGGGTTCGAGGCCATCTCCATCACTGGCCGATGTTGGATCAGGTACTTGATCATTTTCAATTTCAGAGTTGCTTTGAGCAGCGGGCTCGGGGTCTTCTCCCTCACTGGCCAATTCTGGATCAGAAGAATGACCATCATCATATTCGAGATTGCCTTGGACAAGGAATTCGTGGCCATCTGCATAAAAGATGAAACCAACATCCCCACTGCCACTAGCAGACTTGTTGTAGGAAGTAGGCGAATCTGGGTCGGAGAATGCCTTTTGAAACAATGTCAGACTTTTTAGTTTCTCCACGATTGGGCGACTGGGATGACGGGAACGGAGAAAGGGCTTTAGGGCTTTGTGTCTCGTACTATAGATGTCTCCTCCTCGTCGGCGGCAGCGGTGGCTTTGCGACCTCGCTATTTTTGAAGTTAGCACTGCTCAAATGTCCGTTTGATAATCACAATGAGTATCATGGATGCGGAGGTGAGGTGGCTCATGGCCATGTAGTAGCAACGAGTCAACCAAATGTGAGGCCCCCGCAAGTAAAGACACGCAAATCAAGACCAAGAGGCGACAAAGTGCGTATCAAGTATACATGTAGGATGGGAGAGAAGATTTCCAACACGCAAATTCGATGCTCCAACCCAGACTTACTTGGCGTTTAAGGCGACGCCTCTCTTTGATTCGTTGTCGCTGCCGCTTGGTGAGGCCCTCCTTGTCGACGCGAGGCGGTGGTGGTGATGGAAGTGGAGGGAAAGGGGGAGAGGTTCCAGCATCAGGGCACATTGGTAAGAGTATCGCGTCAAGACAGCTAAACGAAAGTGAAGGAGACTGAGTTGGTTGAAAAGAAAAGGAACATTCGAAAGGAAATTGAGAGTCTTATGCGTGCCTTCCCAATATATGCATAGACATCTGAAGGGTGTTTGGCATCTATGAGATGTGAGATATCAAGAGGAAAGGTGAGAATAGCCTTCGATTGAAAGAAAAATGCTAAGAACAAGATGATAACTATTGCCAAGCCAGGAACCAACCACGACCCTCTTGGCATTTGCTTGAGATGCTTGTTTTGTATACACTCAGGACGAACAGATCAACTCGACCCGAAGATCCAGTCAGATACAATGACCGCAACAGTGGCAACCTAGAAGAGAGTCAGTCTACAGGTACGAACGCTAACTAAAATGTACTCACTATCGAGCTGTCCACGCCAGGCATTATGATAAGATCCAAAGCAGGTCGATATCCCGTTTTAGAGCCTCTCAGATTCAACTTCTCATTATGGTGAATGCTCTCCTTAACCTCTGCCACCTTCCGATCCCCATCCACGATATCAAACAGCGCCAACGCATTTCCATGCCTTTCCACATTTAACGTGAGCATCTTCTCCTCCTCGCGCTTCCCGTCAAAGGCAGCCGCATTCTCAAATGAAAGGTTAAAGTCCCCGAGAGACGTCTTTCCCAACGACCAGCGTGGAGACCCCGTCGCGATCGTCGCATCATCACACCCGGGTAGACTGATAGACCAACTATTCGAGCGGTACCATTTCCGATGCAGTTCGAAGAGCGGAAGGCCAGACGAGTCACGGAATTCACGACATGATCGGTCGCTGTATTTGCGACCGGTGATAGTGAATTGTGGAGTTCCGTCTTCTTCGGTGATCTTATAGGAAACCGCCGATTGGGGGCTGCCGAACGGGCGGAGAACAAGGATTGTTTTGGTGCGCGCAATATACTGACTTCGGAATGCAATGTCTCGATCCGGAGAGCGGAGTGTTTTGCGGGGTTTGGACGAGGACGCAAGTGACATGCGAGCATCGGAGTAGGAAGTGTACGACATGGCTGATTGGGGTCTTAGCTTGTGGCCCCCGGGGCTATATATACTGAGGGGTTCGTGCTATTTATGCCTGTGAGGTATTTGTTTGGTCCAATGTCGCATGATATCATCTAGAGCTGAGCCACAGGTTGCCAAGGAACATACCGATGGGGCTATACTCTTTGTTATTTAGTTGAGCGGTGCCCGGGGCTTGTGCCCGGATGGGACGTTAATAATCTGTGGATTCTTTCGCCGTTCAGTGGGCATTCCGGGCATTATGATTGATTGTTCGAGTCAGGCGTATCTGCGGCTATCCGTACGACTGAAATAGAAGTCTGACGCAGTTGATAATCGCTATACTCAAACAATGGCCTCGGGTACTTCTGTATACTTAAATCGCCTATATCGGATGATGACTCAGTGCCATTGCGGGACTCCAGGGGAACTTTTGAAGAAACATAAATTGTAGACTACGATAGTTCCATTTTTGTACCTCACCAGCTCTCTCTTGCACCAAAATGGCCGGAAAATTTGCTGTTAAGTCCTTGGACCATCTGGTCCTCACGGTCCGCAATATACCAAAAACCGTAGCCTGGTACACGGCCTATCTCGGCATGCGCCACGAAGTGTTTACCTCACCCACTAACCAGACCGTGCAAAGGTAACCCCTCTTCTAAAAGTTTCGCTGCACTTGAAGCTCAATCTCAAGCAAGGGGCTAATGACATTAGACACGCCTTGATTTTCGGATCTCAAAAGATCAATCTACACCAGTCGGGCAAAGAATTTGAGCCCAAGGCCCAGGATGTCCAACCGGGAAGTGCTGACCTGTGCTTTTTGACGGACCAAGACGTGGAGACGGTCCTACAGGCATTCCAGGAAGCGAGAATTGAGGTATCTGCTCATCATTCCCGAAAAAGAACCAAGTACTGACGGCCCCAGATCCTAGAAGGTGCTCAGGTTGTGGAGAGGACGGGGGCAGTTGGAAAGATCCGCAGTGTTTATGTCAGGGATCCCGATGGAAATCTTATTGAGTGAGTGGTTCTCTTCATTTTGCTGTGTATTAACATGACTGATTCGATTTGCAGAGTGTCAAACTATGCGTGATGGTGAAATATTGCACAGAGCATCTAGATATTTGTAATCACGAATATCGCGATGTCATTACACCAACGCCCATGCAGCAGCGCCTATCATCAAAGGAAGAACTGCGTTTTGTTGAATATTTGATGCAGCGCCTGGAGTTGCCGAGGCGGAGGCCGCACTTCCTGATGCGGTTGCCTATATGCCATTAGTCTTGACTGGCTGATAAAATAACGCAGTGACATACCGACGATGTAGCGGCGGCGGAAGCAGTGGCCGATGTCGCACCCGTTACCGTGGAGGAAGTGCCCGTAGTAGTAGCAACAGGGGTCGTTGCAGCGCCCGATGTGGCGCCCGATGTAGCGGAAGAAGCACTAGGGGTAGCATCATCACTGCATGATTTCGCTGCGGACTTGACGCCATCGCCATAGTATTGCCAGATGTTGTATGTCAAGGCACACTTCAGACATGAGTTGAGGTCGGTAGTGAATGTTGAGTTTGAGCAGTAATCGCCGGCTTCAGAGATCAAGATCACCTCGCCTATTTCATTATCATAGGTCAGTACCATGTCCCAGATAGAAGACATGTGAAGGGTAGGTGAAAATGCCAGACTGACCGCATGCCTCGTGGCAGCTGTAGAGTGGGGTTCCCGGGGCTACTTCACGCTTTAGCAACGAAGATAGGCTGGGAAGCTGTAGTGCGGCGGCCGATGAAGCAAGCAAAGCAATGGCTGCTTGTGCTACAATTGAGGAGCGCATGGCGAAAAGGGAGATGAGGATGGAGAAAGAGAGGTACCGTAAAAGTAAGCTGGATGAGATATTTGAGTGGAATGATTTCGAGGGGAACAAATCTTTTTATCTTTCCGGTCTTGACCAAGGTCCCATCTATGGCTTGTACCTTCCGACATCTTGCCACTCGGAGCCGGTCAGCCACACGGTTAGTTTGTTTACTCCGTAGATTGATCCTATATTGCCAAGCCTGGAGAGGCTTGGACTGCCCCACTTGATTGACAGACGTAAAGCCGAAGCCTGAGTGCGCTACACTGTGCGAATTGATATTGGCGGCTGATTTTCGGATGCTCTGTGACCTGAAACACGCAGGACCGAGCAAACAAAGATCCGAAATCAACGATCAACGAGGATCAACAGCGTCAAAACATAAATCAAACAGGAACAAATGTCCGAGCTCGGAAATGAGGGTCTCAGCAGCCTAGGGCTTTCGGGAAATTCCGAAGATGGCCAATCATCAACGTCGCTCGATCTTATCAATCTAATCTCATCACCCCGGGCGAATGTGCTTCCGGCTATACTTGAGCTGCAGGGTTACAGTGCAGGTTGCAGTACAGGACTCTCTAGTTAGTCAAGCGAGATGCATTTGTACCGATTCCACTCACTTCATTTGCTGGTCCGTTTTGCGCTTTGACCTTGTGCCCTTGTACAAACCTGCCGATACCCTTCACATGCGTTTTGCTAAACGGCTTTTGGCATTGAAAGTCTTGACACCGCGTTCTCATAAGCGAGGTATACAGTTGTACCAGGGTCCGCCTAGACTCCACTCAGTATTAGTTAATGGATCCGGTAAATGATGCCGAGATGGCCTGTCACCACTGGGAAACGGTGCTCAAGGTCGAGTGTCGCACTAAACTGAGTTATATAAGAGCTACTTGCAGACTCTCGATTCTTCTTCTGTGTTCAACTCCCCACAGTCTTACGCCTTTTCAAGAGTTCCCGCATCCTTCACGAAGGAGACCAACAAAGATGCAGTCACTCATAGTGTTCCTCAATATGGTCTGTCTATTGGCATTCCAAGTGAGTGCTGCCACAGACATGGGACCCGCCGCCTTTCTCTGGCCGCCCGATCGAGCATGGGGAGAAGCACAGGATAACACGGCGCCTTGTGGCTCTTCCGCCGGGGTAACAAATCGCACAGAATTCCCACTCAGTATGGCTCTTCCTACCTATCTTTCTGGTCACTGATGCTTACACTATCAGCCAATGGCAAGGTCTCTCTAGTCCTCCAAGATGAGTCGTACAATGTCAACTTGGCCATTTCCTACAACAACGGTAAGTAATATCCACACGCGCTCTGCATCATACTGACTATCCTGGCAGACCCAACATCAAATCGGGATTTCACAACCCTAGTCTCCTCGTCGAATTTCCCTGATCTAGATCCGGGCCACGAATGCTATGCTGTGCCGAACCCTCCTTCAAACATCTCATCTGGCTCAAATGCGACTCTTCAACTTTCGTATCTGTCTACATTTGACACGGATAAGAATAGCACTTTCTATGCATGTGCAGATATCAGCTACGTCCCTCTTGCTTCATTCACGACCAATGTCCCCTGCTTCAATGTCTCAGAGCCTACTACTTCGGGCTCGAGTAATAGCTCGGCGAGTTCTGGCTCTTCGCGCTCCTCGGGCTCTTCCTCTGGACTGTCGGGCGGACAAATTGCGGGTATCGTGGTTGGATGTGTCGCTGGTGCCGCGCTTGCTGCCGTTGCGCTGTTTGTCCTGTGGACAAGGTACCAGAGGAAAGTTCAGAGGGATAAGGTGGTTGCTGTTCGCATGGGAGACTGGGGAAATAAGCCGAAGGCTGATGACACGGGGCCTGGTGGAGTCTGAATGACATGAGTTATTAATGTTCTTGTTTGTATCCATTATCCATGGATCTATCTTCATGGGTGACATTGCAGCTAAGAATAATAAGCAACCCCTGCTATGATTACATCCTTTGCAATCCACAGATATCTCGAGAGCCGACTTGGGACCGGGGATAGAGTAGGCCTCGGCTATTCCGCCTGTATACCCTAGACCCTCCTTCCAGGGTCCTATGAGTTCGACTTAATGGACCCCGCTAGGATGCCTCTATTTGCTTTTCCCCCCGGCTATCCTTGTCAATACATTTGCAAGCAAGATCTAACAGATGTCTTGCCGCTACCAACATGACGGTTTACTGCAACAGCTTTCATGCCGACATCCTTACACTCGAAAGTCAGGGCGCTGTTCAAACAAGCTGGTCACAGGCAAAAACAATTCTCGTCCCTCAAACTCGCTGCCAGCTTGTCCAAACGTCTTCAACTCATCCCACGACACCCATTCCCATTTCTCGCACTTCTCGGGTTCCAGAAGCTGATGCCCTGTTAGCCATGCCATGCAAAGATAGCGCTGCAGCAAAGATTGCACAAAGCAGAAGAAATCAAAGAAAAACGAGCAAAAAAATCAAACCAAACTTACTTTCGGCTCAGCTCCTTCTTCACAAACAGCCCCAATGAAAATGGTGATATAGTGCTTATTTTCAGCCTGGAAGACCGAATTTGTGGCATTCAAATAGCGCGGATCCCGAGTCTCCAGACCTGTTTCTTCAAGTGTCTCGCGCGCCGCACAGGTCTCAAACGATTCGCCGAACTCCAGGTGTCCACCGGGCAGAGCCCATGTACCTGCAGCTCGTCAGCCATGCCATACGTCATAGGCTGATTACATACCAGCGCCATGGCTTCCCTTTCGCTTTCCAACAATAAATTTGCCCTGAGCATTCAGGACGAACACAGCGATTCCGACTCTGGGATCCATTTGGGAGTATGTAATTGTGGGAAAGTTGAAGTTGCGGGAAGGTGGGGGGTTGTCGGTTTTATCTCCACAGGCTCCCAGGGCTGTTCATGTGGCTGTGCTCGGGTGCATATACAAACTGTGGTATAGTTGGTTTGAGGATTTCTTTGTGATGCTTTTGCAAGGATGAAACACTGTGTTGCCTTGACACAGCCGCTGTAGAAAATTACCAGAAATGTGTTGATTAGGCTGCAGACAGCCTTGGCGCTTATGAGTCCGCCTTACAGCCTTGGAGGTGGATATCGGATGTACAAGCAGTCAATCAGCTACTTCAGTAGAGCTTTGCGGCTTAATTGTTTTGGCCCGACTAGGAAAGCCATAACTCTGTAGGTACTCGTGTTTCAATATTCAGCGTATCTAATTCTGATTGAATATTTGGTGTATTGATATTTATTTATTTATCCGATTGATAACGAGATGCCCTCATTCTAGCTCCTCAAGTCCTTTTTCAACAATTTCCAAAAAAAATGACAGACTTCAGGAATAACTAAGCAAAGACTTACTAAACATACAAGAGGTTGAGTGCCGGGCAAGTGCCCTCCCGCCTCTTCTTTTCCAGTTCCTTTCAAAGGATATGTCCACAGCTATACGTACTTCAGGAGTACAAGGAGAATGCTATCAGTGAGATCTACTACACCTGGGCACATACATGTACCTACTCAACGGGTCCCCATTGGTCGAGTTGATTTCGGATCAATATTGGTCCGATGTATCCAGAAACATTTCCATCGTCATTCATCCATCCCGAAGTGTCGGTCCTCTATATCTTTGCATGGTAATTGTACTATTCTCCAAGGCCTAACGCCAAATATCTACTAATGCTTATGCAGACCTCATGCTATAGCGCACTTTGGCCTCATTCCTTCCCTTATGGCCATTCGGCGATCACACACTAAATCCCGCCTAGGCTGTCTCCGATGCAGAGACAAGCATCTCAAATGCGACGAAGTCCGCCCGACCTGTGGGGCCTGTGAGAAATACAATCAGCCATGTATCTTGAAGCCGACAAAAAATACCAGATCTACTAGTACGCAACATGTCAATATCAATCACGGTCGTTGCACTACCCTCACGGAAACATCAACAACCCAAAGCTTCCCTGATTCTTCCAGAGCGGAATCATTGAGTGGGGATTTGCTCATACCGTCACAAATCCTTTCCGCTAATACATATCATCGCGAGCCGCCCAAATCAGTCCTTACTACTTGGGAATTTGATTTAATTCATCATTGGATCATCAATGTTACCGATACGTTTGCTGTCAGTCAGGCCTTCCATCGCAGCTGGCAGGATCAGGGGGTTCGGGAATCTATGCGGTACCCGTTCATACTACACATGATTCTCATGCTGTCGGCACTCCATCTGGGAATTACAAAATCGCCAAATTTCAGCGAGAAACATAGTGCCTTCATATTAAGCGGATGCTCAGATGCGATGGCATCGTTTCGAAAAGAAGCTGAGTTTATCGACGATTCCAATTGTCACGCAGTCGGGAAATTTCCCTTCCTCCTATCTATCTACGCTCTTGCACTTCCGCTGCTACAAGCTGGGGACAAAACCGAGGATACGATATTAGATGAAATGATCCATATCATGGTTTTGATGAAAGGAAACGGCACAATTCATGAAACTACCAAAGCCTGGAGAAAAACACGAGATCTCAAATCATGGCTTGAGGACAAAGATATTCTCGATGACGCAGCGCACCTGTCAGAAGATAATGATCTGGACTTCGCTATCGCAGAGCTGCAACATTTTATCGACCTTTCCGATGATTCGCTTGCTGTTCGTGGTTCCAACACTAGAGCCCTTCAGTCTCTTCAGCAGAGCCTTGACCTCCGTTTGAAGCGAGGTTTGAGACCACTTGCTTGGCCAAATGCCGTCGATCATGACTACATGGATCTTCTCAGGCAGAGGAATACTGCGTCACTGGCCATTTTGGCTCATTATGCTGTGATACTAGCGCAATGTAACTCGCGATGGTGGTGTTTGGACTGGGGTGTGCAACTGGCCTCAGCTATAGAGCGACTGATGCCTGACGAACATATCGCTATAATTCTCTATCCCCTTCGAAAGTTACACCTAAGATGATAGAGTGCGTTTTGGGTGGGTTACTTACCAGTCTTGTGTAACTAAAATGCTCAATACCTACTACATAGTGACTAGTCCCTAGTAAACTTCATAGTATGAGGAGGCTCGTTTGGGAGTGAGACCCAGTTTACCCATCATTACAGTTCTCAAACGATCAAGATATGTACTATGTACTGTAAAATAATCAAAAAATTCGAAGAGAGTTTGTTTGGACCCACTCTTGTCAATGTCTTTCGAACACGGAACTGCCCCCCCCCCCCCCCCCCCCCCCCCCCCCCCCCCCCCCCCCCCCCCCCCCCCCCCCCCCCCCCCCCACCCACACACAGAAAAAAACCATAATCTCG